TGTTGCATTTCTTCGCGAGTTGTTGGTGCTTTTGCGCCCTGCTTACTCATCGTTCACAGTGCCACGACGCCCACAAAGCTCGCCGTCGTGCGATTGCACCGTTTTCTCAAAGTCCAATGTTGTTGCTCGCCAGGACCTGCTTCGCCGGAATATTGATAAGCTCTGCCAGCGTATCTCTAAACTCAATGGAACTGCCTTTAACTTAGGCGCTGCCATTAGCGCAGTGGCCCGAGATAATGCCAATGAATTCATTGTTGGCAAGGCATATAATGAACTGGATCTAGAGGATTTTGGTATTGGATTGTCCATTTCATCCCAGGGTGCCGGGACGTTCTGGCGTACAACAAAGCATGTACGCTGGTTTGGGCCTGCGATGAGGGCAATGCCCATTCACTGGGCCGAGAAGGTGGCAGATGAACACACAAAATCGTTCCTTCGTTATCTCCAGGTAAACTATCACCACCGGCCGTGAAACGTGAGGCCTCTGGCTGATTTTGACAGCAATCTGAGCGAGATACACGAGATACTTTGGCCGCTGTGGCGTCTTCCTCTCCAGGGCATAATGTCAACAATACCATGATATATACGATTGTCCACTCTGACCTCCCACCGGCAGATAAAACCTTTGATCGTATTTTCGAGGAGTTAGCCACTGTAACTGGTGCAGGATTTGAAACTACCTCTAACACCCTCAGACTGATTCTCTACCATCTTTATACTAATAACACCATTCTTGAGCGGCTACGAGAAGAAATCACCATAGCATCTGACGGGTCTGGGCCAATCCCGCTAAAGAAACTAGAGCAACTACCATACCTCACAGCTATCCTACAGGAAGGCTTACGCCTAAGCCCAGGTGTCTCCACCCGTGCGGCACGTATCACAGATAAGGATCTCTTTTACATGAGCTGGCGTATTCCTACTGGGACACCAGTCGGAATGACTACAATATTAATGCATACTGACGAGAAATTGTATCCCGACCCAATGCGCTTCAATCCGGATCGATGGATGAACTCCGCTACCAAGGGAACGATCACCTCGACGTTTGCCCCCTTCTCGCGAGGAACTAGAATGTGCATCGGCATGCAGTGAGTCCCACTCTTCGTGACATACTTTACTACCCCCCTACATGCAGGCGCTTTTTACTGACTTACTGGACTATCGTACACACAGCCTTGCTTGGGCCGAGATGTACCTGCTCCTCGCTTACCTAGTCAAAGAATTCGACTTCACGATCATGAATGCCACGGCTGGCGATTTTGAGCTAGAGAAGGATAATTTTGGAATTGGCACAAAGGCTTCATGCAACTTAATGGCTCATGTTACACTCCGTGAGGGTTAATTAATGGTCTGCATAGTGCCCTTACTCGATCTGCCCACGTATGTGAGGAGAAACCTTCAGTGGGTTGATTTTCGGAGAAATAAGCTGGGCAGTAAGAATAAAGAGGTAAAAAATAGAGTTCTTAACGACAGCGCGGCTAATTGCCGTTGTAGATGGCTCTTGATGATTCAAACCAGTACAGTTTGTTTGTCACATTCATATGTCATATCAAGGGTTGAGCCGTGATAGCGATTTTATATGATTACCACATGTGAAGAATGTAAAAATTTCCAAACGATATACGGCAATATAATCCCAGGAATCGAATGCCAGATATCTACGTAAATCTTTTAAAGAAATCTATCTAACAAAGTACATTTTCAAGCTCTTATTCTTAGTTTAAGAGATCAGTACATAGTAAAGTCCAGCACCAAGTTCCTTTTAAGATATAAAAGCCACCAACATGCGATAGAATCATTGGTCATTGATAGGTGAGTCCTGATCTTATTTCTTTGATCCCTCTCACATTCAAACTATGGAACTGGCATTCAGGGGTATGTAGACCCATTTTCTGTCAAATCCAACTACCGACTTCCTGCTAAACTGCCAACCTTTACCCCTTAGCGAAGATATTACTGTGTATATCTATTCTCCAGCTACTATGTATGTCTATCGTAGGTGAGTACAACGTATTTATACCTAGTAATACCCACCACACTATGTACCTGCATGGGCCTACTGCAGTAGACGTGCTTGTGGAGAACGGGCCCGCCTGCAGTCTAATGGATCCTGCAAGCTGCGTGTGGTAAAATACGAAAAAAATAATATTTTTGTATGTGTGGAATCCAGATGCCGATAACTCTAATTCATGTTGAGTAGTTGTCGTTATAGACGGTGGCCTCAGTTTCAAATAAAGGGTTGTCTGACGTCAAGTTCACGTAAATATTCGTAGAGTGGGACGGCCGCTGCCATCAAGCCTGACATAGGTGGTTCGAAAAAGTATTAGTAGCAGTTAATTAGTCATGATCCATGACAGCATATTATCCTAACTAACAGTAACGACATACAAAAGGGAAAAAGATGTAGTAGACATCTGGATAACCAAATATATGACAGGTAAATCTGGAGGGTATATTTGAGAGAACAAGACATGACAAGAGGAGAGAAAATCGCGATTAGATAAAGATCTCCGATGGAGGTATGGGGTTTTTGATGGTGACACTGGCTCTGGATATAGGGCAACAGACCCAGATTGCAGAAGGCAGAGATGTGGAAACACAGGATGTAACGAACAGTAGCACGAAACAAGATTTAAAAAAAAAAGAAGACAGCCAGACGCATGGTCTATAGACAAAAAAATCAGTGGAACGATGTGGCATCATCAAAACGAGAGTTGGAGAAAGATTGAAGAGAGGGCGGCCTTGCCCATCAGGTAGGTTTTCGACAATGGTCATACATGTTGCTGCCGTTCAGCTAGCCGTGTGGTTGCAGTGCTAGGTCTTGTTCTCGTCCCTAGATCGGAGCCACCATCGCTTTCCACGATGCCAATCTTCGGATCGGGAATCTGTATATCTAAGGATAAAAAGCCTGTTCGCCGAGGACCCCATATCTTAACGCCTTCCGGGGCACCGACTTCTCGATTCCAATTATCTATCCAGGCTTCAAGTCCCTTAATCCGAGACTTGATCCGGCTAGCTCCTAGATCGTCCCATATCCAGCCGGTGAGGAATCCGATTATCCCGTCAAACCAGTTGCGCGCGCTGTACGGGTCAAACGCAATGATAAGCTCCTCGTTTATCTTGGTGATGATGCTTCGGAATTCCTGTTCGCCCAGGAGAGGATCAAGAATTTCTGGATATAAGTTGGAGAAGGTGGGTGCAAGATCTCCTTTGACCATCCAGTCACGTCGTATCCGGATCACTCGTGTGTGAACATACTCTTCCGAATTTAGGGAGACGTGAGTGTTCATATGTGGGAAGCAGGGGTGAGAAGGTCCCCAACTCAGTTCTTCCGGGACATCACCGTTGGATGGATTATTGGGAATCTGAGGGTTCGTCGAAACATTATTAGTGTTCACAGGCGGCACGGAAATGTAAGTCTGCGGTCTGAAAGTTTGATGAGAGTTGACATGTCGAGGAGTCTCTGGCGGATCATCTGGGTGCTGTTGGGCAGCGGTACTTCCGTTCATAGAGAAAAGATTGCCATTTCTGACAGAGAAGGGAGGCTCCGATGACCTGAGATCATTCCTTTGCCCCGTAGAAGATTCTGAAAGGTTGACCATCTCTATATCTCCCAAGGTATTTCCGCGTCTGTGCCTGTGAGGGAGCCCGATGCTAGTACGCCCGGCGGCTTCGGGTTCGTCAATGCTTCGTTTGACAGCTACACTTGCCGCACTGGATTGCTGCGAGCGAATTCGCCGACGCTCAGGTAGGGTAAGTAGCGGATAGGCGTCTCTCTTCGGTCTAGAATCGCCTGTCAAAACTGTGCGCGGAGACAGCTGCTGAGACGAGCGAGCGGCGGAGCGTGGAATATAATTCACAGGATTCCAAAGACTGGACGAAGGAGGTCTTCTAGAGTATTTGAACAGAGGAAGCAAAGGAGGCGGTTCGTGAGGTCGTTGGAGATGGCCGTGGACGCGGCCTTGGGAGGAGGATTGACGATGGTACGCCGGCTCTGGACGTGCTGGAGCAGACTGGAGTTGCGCCGAATATTCAGGAGTCAGGATCGGAACAAGAGGGATGTATGTGTGCGAGCCGTCTTCAGCCTGCCGCGATGATACGGTTTGTGGACGTCGAGCGTTTGAAAAGGCCGTTTTTGTGGTGCAGACAGGACTTTGTATGGCGTTCTTCTTCCTGTCGCACTAGTGCCACGGAAAGGGGTCGACTTTGGTGTGTCTGCGCTCGGCGCACGGCGAGGAGGCTTCGGGGCACGGCGACTTGGTCCAGCGTCCACCGACGCCATAAGAAGCAATTGAACGATGAAGATATAGAGAGAGACAAGCCCAGTTGAACTGGCGACTTTGCTGAAGAGCGAGTGGGTGAGAGAAAGATAGAACAAGAAATGAAGGTCTGGACTGATATTCCTTTGAAAACGAATGGTGGTTTTCTTTTAGTTCCTGTCGTTCTCTGACTGTATTGTGATTAGTAGGATGCAGTTGGCATTGCCCGCAAGGCCTGGAGGTTACATGATGAGTCCAAGGAAGAGAAGAACAGCTCGCAAGCCCTGAGAAGAGGCGCTGCTCAACAGGGCTGGTGGAATGGGCTGCCTTAAATATAAGTTGTCCAATCCCGCTCCCACACTCCAAGGCTCGGTTCGTCCCATCGCCGATTACATGGGGGAGGGAGGGATGCCTTCGGAACGAGTGGGCTGCGAAGCCAGTTTAACTAAAGAAGAGCACACAGCCAGGCACTTGTCACAAAGATGTTGGTCGCAAGACGACTGCTTGAGCCGGGCCAATGGTTCCCTTACGATAACGAACCGTCCAAAGATTTTACGAACTTTTTTTACTTTGGTCCCTTGCTAGGAGACTTATACTCTGTCAGGAGAATGAGAAGAGCTCTCTGAGGTGATGCTTGGGCAGCCATGGCCAACCGTCCCCCATAATCCTTGCCAGTCAACCAGGGAACTGAAAGCAAGGGGAAAAGGAAAAAAAACTATAGAGTTACTTGCACATGTCAGGCAACCTTCTCTCCTTGCGCCAAGTGCGATGCGGATTAGGACACTTCCCTCTATTTTTCAATTTCCGATTTATTTTTTCACAAGGGGGGGGCTTTTCACGTTCTGGTCCCCCATTCCATCTGGATCAATCAGGCGTGTCGTGTGCGGTTACGATGGATGGCGGATCGCAAATAACATATTACATCCCGTCGACCGCGTTAGCATGGCGGCCCAGTTTTCCGCAGCGGCCGGGCCAATAGTCAGTTCTGGGGCCGCGGAACCAGGTACCGATTACGGGCTGGTTGCATAAGCGACTGATCCCATGTTTTATTCTGTATTTTGGCAGTTGTGCGAAATATATGATAGGTAACACCCCTCCCCCAAGGGCCGGTCGTGCGGAGGTTTTTCTTGAGCTCACATTAACATTCCAACAGCCTCATGCTGCGTCACCGTTGACGCCATTAGTACTGCAACCATCATCTCTATATAAGCTACCCAACTGCCAACAATATCTCAAGCCCCATTCTTATATCACGGCGGTGACTAAGCAGTGGGTCTCCCGGAGAATTAGCTAATTGATTGGCCAAAGCTCCGGATAAACTTCGGGGATACGATAGTCCGAATGCACGGCAGGGGCAATTTCGACTTGTTAGACACTTTTTTCCCTTCATATAATGGAAAAAGGGGTGATATTGCATGCTATAATTATACAGAACAGGGGGGAAGCAGCCCCGAGATGCAATAAAGGGATCACCATGTGGCGCTTGGATTCTGGCCAAAGAAACAAAACGAGGAAGGGTTATAACTATACTATGTAAGGAAACAAGATCAGTTTGTTTATAGTGCCTTTGCTGACAGCCAACCATATCCCATAGCAAGGTCCCAGCTCAATGGCTCTGGCACTGATGGGCTCAAGCTAGAGCTATAGACTATTTGAACTCCGTATGGAGCACTTTAATATTTCCCCGTTGCTTGCGCTAGCTTCTGGCTCCCTGCCTCCCATGTACTGGCACAGCCTGCTTACTTCTCTAACTGGGAGCCCTGTTAAAAAGCCAATCGCTCCCCTGGCTCCGGTTCCACTTGGATTAGAAGAGTCCTTGGGGGACAAGCCGCCCGTCTTTTTGTGGACAAGTAAGCGGCGAGCCTCCGTTATTCCTTCGTCGACATGGACGGGCTGGTTGAGGAAGTTTGCCTTGCTGGAAGCGGTTTCCCCTTCGAGAGGGAACATCTGAGACAGGTAGTGCTGATTAAACAAATGCCCTCGACCATCCTCACGGATGAAAACCCGCCCAGCATACCTGTTCTCAACGTCGTCTATGTTACGCAGAACTCCCCACTGGGGAATGGGGTCATTTTTGTTGACATAGTGCTCGATATGTTTGATCACCCCTCCTTTGCCAGTACTGCACAAAGGATTGCTGATGTGCTCCGCGGCGGATCCAAAGGTATAGATTTCTAGTTTCTGCATCTGTTTCACTGACAGGTCCGCAAACAGCATGTCCAGCACGAGCGAGGCGACAATCGCGCCCTGAGAGTGGCAGATTAGGATAACCTTCCGAATTCTTGGGTCGACTAGTACCTTCTTGAGATGGTCATATGCGACTCGGGCGTCGTAAGTATTATACGAGAATGTACGTTGGATAATGCACTCGAGTAAGTCCCCAACGAGGCCATAAGTGCGGTTCTGAATGCCTGTGATAGGACGCCGGAATGTCTGGGCCAGTTGTCTGCAATTCTGCTCGAGCCCATAAGAACTATATACTTGAAGCTTGTTATTAAGTGGGGGCAACACCCAACAAGAAGAACAGGTGGAGTTTGGAGAATGAGCCTTACGTTACTACAACCCCGTTGATGAATATCCAATGTTCTTCTCCCATAGCCTCCCTAGCGTTATATGGACCCAGCCCGGCGTGGTAAATGGTTGGCCCGTGGAACGGGGCACAGGTCCAACTTGCGATCCGGAGATTTAATAGGCATATCCAATAGCTAATGGCTCCAGGCAGGAGCAGCGTCGACAGACAGGAGAAAAGCAGGAGAACTACCTCAAGTAAAGAGACTAGCACCAAGCCAGCCAGATTTACTACATTCCGTTTCCCGAGGTACAGTTCGTCGGTCGGCCTGCGAGCACGCAGGGGCTGGAATATATTTGGAAGCTTTGGGAGCAGCTGAAGACATGTTTGCAGATCCCTCCTCACTCTTTTCAGCGGGCTGTCTCGAGCCTTAGGTTGGCTGGTGATCGATTCCTTGTCAATCTGGGACGGAATCAAACGAACAGGTTTGCGGGCCGGCCGCAGGGGCTCTGAGATCTGCTCCGCCATCCTATCCAAGCAAAGGAGAATAAGAAACCAAACGAAGGAGGAGTCCATAAAACCTCAAACGACTAGCTTAATATGTGTGTATTGCCACGATGCAATATAATTCTGTTTCAGCGAGTGTGGTTGTCAAACGATCATCAACGAAAGAATAAAGGCTGAGAAACGAGTGTAAGCTGGAATAAAGAATGCTGATAAACTGTGTATTTTGTGTTTGCCTATCTTGTTGACAGGGAGAAAGGTGATCTTCAGGCCTAGAAGACACGGGAAAGCAGAGTAAGAACAAGGCTTCGGGTTCAGTTCCGAGGAAAGCACTTCTCTTCCAGGGCAAGGACGAGATGAAACATGTCTGAGGTTGCCATATCACTATTGTACATATATATAATATGTGTATCCGCCTGTTGTTGGAAGCTCGCGTGCAGGCCAAACAGTATACATGTGATGCATCTATTTCTCCATGACCATGACAGCATCAATCAAGGAGGCGTTGGTATTCAGCTGATAAGTCCTCTGCGTGCTGTGTAAGGAGCACTGGAGTACGCCTACTCCATGTCATCTGTATAGCTAACTGCATCATCTTATGTAGGGATACCCTTCGTCTCTTCTCTCCCTTTCGTCTTGCCATGTAAGGACTTGGTGGATTGGGCCGCGATTAGTTAGTGATGACTCAGCACTATAGAACAGGGGAGCAACGAGCGATGGAGATTTCATAACAGTGTCAATTATGCCCTCAAATCTATCTATCTCCAAGGTGGGATATGGTTTCCTTTTATGCCTGTCCTCCCATATAAACCGAATCCCTATCCCGTGTAATATCGGTTCGGCTGCGTTATTTGCTTGAGTTGATAACTTGCCATGCCAATATATAAACCAGTTATAGATATTTGCCTCCATAACCATGTGATATCTCTCGAACCTTGGAACAGGGTTGTTTATATGTAGAAGTACGTGGAAGTAGAACTTCTGGATGAGCCTTCGTTCCCTTACAACAAGAGATAGCCGTTCATATATGCAACTGGGGTTTTCTTCTCTCTTTATTTTCTCGTTGCCTCTCATTGTTACAGTATATCTACTCTTCACTCGCTTTACTTGAACTGCTTCTCTTCTAAAGATGTACGGCTCTAGCGATGATGAATACTTTGAATGCGATACCTGCACCCGTCAATTCACTACTAGGTATTCCTGTTGCCAGCACATGAACGATACAGGCCACTGGGCTCCAACTTATGAGTGCGAAATGTGTACCAAGACGTTCCGTTCTCAGCATGCAGCGAATCAACATATGAATGCCGTCGACCACTGGGCACCCAGATTCGAGTGCGAGACGTGTACAAGCACATTTCGGTCTGAATCTGCTGCAAATGAGCACATGAGGGCGGCCGGACACTTCAAGTTCTACTGTCAAGACTGCCAGAGGACGTTTCAGAACCAGAACAGCCTGAACATGGTAATATTGGTTCTTCTGCTCAATTGAAGATGTCCTCGGCTGATATCGACTTTCTTGCAGCACCTCAGATCAAAGGTCCATATCGGCGATGGCGTTGCTTGCCCATTTTGTAGAAACGGATTCACGACCGCAAGTGGCCTTGCCCATCATCTCGAGCGGGGTTCCTGCCCCAAGGCACCAAACTTGAACCGTGAAACTATCATTCGGAAGATTCGCGAATGTGATCCGCATGGCCGTATCACCAACAGGCAGATCGCGTGGCACGAGGAGGAGAACGTCCGCTACTCAGCTACCGAACACGCGTTCGACGGCCAGTTCTGGCGGTGCTATATTTGCAAAGCTTGCTTCAACAATGTTAATGGTCTGAATAACCATATCAACTCTCCTGTGCATAAGCAGAAGGTCTATCACTGCCCGAACCTGAAAAGCAGATGTGGCAAAGAGTTTTCCACGCTTGCTGCGTTGTTTAACCACCTAGAGAGCGAATCTTGTGCTGTCATGAGGTTCGAGACTGTCCAGCGTGGTGTAAATGATATGATCCTCAGAGGACGGTTGATAGGAGCGTGACGTCGGTTGTACCTTGTTCGCATTCGACCAAAGGTTCGCTTGTTGTTTTCTATCGGATCAGGGATTTCACTATATTTTACATATTTCGTTGTCTTGTGAGGGATATCCGTCATGCGTCGGCAGGTATCTATATGTTATATTTTAATGTTATGTAGCTCAGTGAACCTATAGCCTAATTAGGGGTAAGCGATTATATGAAGGGTACTAATCATACATGGCCATGTAAGACACAGAGTAGAGATAATCAGACAGCTCCCGTATTTTGTCCACGATTAAGATGCATTAAACACCAGTCCAAAACACCCTCCCGGTTCCATGCTAATATCCAAACATCTCTAAGAGCAAGAAAAAAAAAAGAATTATTTTTATACAAGTCCTGTGACGGAATGAATATAGAGAGTACTTGGCACCTGTCCATTTATTAATCAATTTTCTCTGGCAGCTCCACCGCTGGCTCGCCACCAGATGTCCCCTCCCCATTTCAAGAGCCGTTCAGCGGCGGCTGTGGGGGTATCAACAGCTGGGCGAATGTCAAGGTAAAAGACAGGTTCACCAGTAGGCTCCGGAGGCCCGGAGTAATAGTCGATTACATATCGAACCTCCTTGTCGCCGTGTGGTGTTTTGCGCAAGACATACCAGTCATGTCTGTCGAATGGAGGAGCAGTCCTGGAATAGGGCGTTAGTCGTATGATCGCCATAGAGGCATCGGCCGACTAGTAAATATAAATGGATATGTACTTACCCGAACTTGGAGGGATACACTCGACCCAGCATTTGGAATAGCTGGGCTTTAGGGGTCAAATCCTGCGGCCTGCCCATAAACCTGGCCAAGCGCGGTTCGTCATCAGTTTCCCCACCAGATCGCATTCTCTCTCGCTCAAGGTCTAGAGCGAGATTCTCCGATCCACGCCTACATCTTTGCCAGCCTCGGATTAGTCCCTGGGAAAATGTGCGCTCCCAATCCACAATCTCCTGCCATGCGCCTTCGTTAAGGAAGTTGTGCACCGACACCATCGACTCGACTGCATCTTGTGGCGTATCCGTGTATCCCTTCCGAAGCATGGCATTATACATCTGTTGCGGAGAAGGGTATTCCCACTTCGCGCCGGAATTGTCACCACGCGGAATGGACGACGGTTCTCGATCCACGGACAATTCGACGGTTTGGTTCGGAGCTCGAGATTGAGATATATCGGCAAACATGTAGTTTAACGGATTGAGCATCGAAAGAACAGATTTCTGCTCGGGTTCAGGAGACAGGGTTGCTGCATTATGTGGTTTCGCGGAGTTTGAGGGAGGAACGTAGAACGGTGAATCTTTCGCCCGTACTGGACATGAGCCCTCTACTGTGGCATTGGCATTCATAGACTGGCCATGCTGAACTGGGCATCGAGACTGGAGTATCAATATATCAATCAGCCGACTTCTTCGCATCTGACCCTGGAAAATCTGTTGCTTACGGTTCCAGCGTCGCTGGGTGATGGAGTGTGAATTTCGGGCTGCTTTGCAGCTGGTGTTGATGATGCCCAAAACCACCCCATTGCTATTGCCTGAATAGACTTAATTGATAAATGGAGACAGAATGATGTATGTACGCTTGAAATGAATAATGAATATGGCTTTTCTATCTTTTTCTTGCTAGAAGAAAAAGTTGATAAGGCTGTTCACGTGACAAAGCGCGATCTTTAAAAGTTGAGCCAATCAGAATAAAGGCATCCATTGTATTTTACGTATACCAGGAATGCCGTTTATACTCATTAAGAAAGGTCAAGCAAGAGAAAGCAAAACACTAAGTGGTATATAGTTGTTCGAACGCCAGATAGTGTGAAATTCCCTAAAAAAGAAAGAAAGGTCACTGCTGTATGCGGCATTATTCATCGACCTCCCTAATAGCGTTGAATGATTGGGCCTCGAACCATATCTTCTTCCAGATATGCCCATGCAACTGGGAGGCAAATAGGTACCCGTTCATGATCGGTTCAACCTCCTCCCAAGTCTCCCACTTCTGGATTATCACAATGTTGTGCAGGATTTCCACCAGCCACGTCCTTATGACCGGATCGTACGCGCTGGCAATGCTGATGAACGCTACCCAGGCGAGAAGGGAGAGATCTTCCGACGATAGTGTGGTTAATGGTGTAGAAACGCATTTTGAGAGAGCATCTTTCAGATTTTTTGTCATAGCTCTGCCAGTTCCAGACTGGGGTGGAGAGACGACGAAGCAGGAACTGAGGTAGGATAAAGCTGTAAGTCGAGTGACAGACTCTATGGGGTTAATGTTTACTATCTCCTTGTCAGGGAGATCCTGGGCTTCAGCCATGCGATACGGATAATCCAAGAGCTCATATTCAATCTCGTGACCTTTCATGAGGAACATTTCGTGCTCCGTGGTGGTAAGTCCCGAGGGATCGGTGCGATTGAAAACTTCAAAGAAAAAGACATCGCGGACTTCTGATAATATAGCCACGAGTTTTGGACTGAGGTGTGTGTTTGCGCACAGGGTATTGGCAAGGTTGGATAATTGGGATGTTGGAGGAGGCTCGACTTTTACCTTAACTTCGGGAGGAAGCGGTTGAGGTTGCCAGGCTAATGGGAATATCGGTCGGCTTACTAGTGTGCTAGCTGCTTTGAGATCACATCTGATGGGCCATTGGTTAGTAGTTGACTTTTAACTCCTTTTCGTTTTTGATGAAGAATGGGTAAACTCACGTTAAAATTGCTCCTATACCACGGGAGCCTTGCATGGCCATGTTTAATATTCCTCCGCGAAAATCAACGATCTTCTTCATGCCATGCCAGTGAACCTTGGCTTCTTCAAACAAACCTAATGTTAACTATTTAACAGCTATCTGTCAAAAACATAGTTCCAAAAACAGTGTCCCAATCATCAGGCAGAGAGATTTGAACATACTGTTGAAGAAATAAGCCCGGTCACTATATCTATCGCGGTGTCGTCCACCGCCTTCATAGGATCCGGATCTCGCAGCTTTTGGTTCATTTCCGCTATACACTTGGCTTTCATGACGTAGAAGGTAGAATCCGGTAGCATGGCCTCTTCTTTATCCGAGCCTGCCAGCGATATCGAGTGATGTTGTTCAAAAATAGCTCTGTGGGCGGCACTGAGAGTCATCTGGGAGAAGAATGAAGCGGACGATGACACGGCTGCGACCATCATTATGGCTAGCCGTTTCCCCGTTTCCCTATCCTTCCTAGCTTCAATTGGGAAGGTCATGGGTATGAGAGTTGTAGAGACTATAGGCCACAATTGTGAGCAACTTCACTGTCTTCCATGTGTCTGTGGTTTGATTTGCGGGTATTCGCGATGAACGGGGGGGAATGTCACTTACTATAACTGAGCAGACCGCTGACTACATGGCCCAAGCCCTCGCAGCCCTTTAGGGTGTTCATTGGATCTATAGTAGGATATATGGGGGTCGCGAGAGGGTTGTGGAATATGTAGACATGCGGCCCTTTGAGACTCGATCCCCTTAGCGTGATCCACGAAGGCGGTGGCTTCATGTTAGAAAACGGCCCGATTGTGGATACTTCGAGGGCACCCTCCCTATGCCGGGCAGCGGTTGATGGGCTGTCTGACGAAGATGATTCATTCTTCTTAGCAGTCGCCTTTTTCGACACGCGTTTGAGGCCGGCAATTCTCTCTCGCCGGCGAACATCTCGCATTACATGTGATCGTATCATCTTTCGGGTATCAGAGCCCTTTCTCCCTTTCAAGGTCGACTCTTCATCTTGCCCGATGAATGTAAATAACGGGCGTTCATACTGCTCTAGACGCCATGTCAGTAACGTTGATGTATCGAATCTCGTATTTTTCTATCCATTGGCGTAGCCACGGCGATGGCGTCTCCTCCCCCCCCAAAAAAGTGGTTGCCTTCCAGTGGAACCGGGGGGGACAAAGGGATCCAGGAACAAGGACTCGTAGAACTTCTAGAAAAAAGCGAAACAAAGAAATAGAGAGATCCAACATACCTGGGGACGGCCTCGAGGGAGCAGTGGGAGGAGCACCGCCAGACGCGGACGAGGAGTTCGAGGATGCATTCAACTTCAACCCAGTGGGAACGATGATGGGGCTCCTCGGCGCCATTGTTTTTTTTCTCTTTGAAGAGCTCAGACAAGGAGCTCACCGGTTTCTTTATCTCTCTCGCTTGGGGTCGCAGACGGAGCTGTCGATGGCATGAATGAGCGCCTCCACGCTCACCAGACCATCTGTACGCGCGGAGCGTCCCGTCGGACTGTTTATCGCAAACGAACGAAAGGGGGCCAAAAGACGAGGTTGCGGCTGACGCAGAAGGACCAGACCCTTGCCTTGAAGGTATATATATATATGTGTGTATAGAGAGAGGGAGAGGGAGGGGGGGGGAGAACGAGGCTTCCCGTACTATGTAGTACATGGACTGTTTTCTAACAAGTCATTACGCAACTGATATTATTATTTACTTTGGTGCAAGTTGATATGTTTCGTTTTTGGTCCGGCGGTCGTTGTCGTTTTTTAGCCTTTGGCCGGCCCGTCTGGTTGGTGCGAGACCCACAGCTGGATATATAAATATATGTATCGTGTGGTTATTTATATATAAATATGTAAGGGGGGATGGACGAGCATGCGGGCGTTCGATGATCAAGGAGATATGGATGTGGCTTCGTGTGATGGGGAGAGGAGAGATTGTTGCTTGTCGCTGGCCGGCGAACTACCTAACCTCCAAGCCTTTCAAGGGTCTTCAGAACGCGGCTCTAGCCTGGTTTAATAACTATTTACATTCCGCGGAAGGACGGATTGACATGATGTGCGGCTGGGGTTGACCCTGGCCCTCAAACAGTTTGACCAAGATGGCGTCCACAGACACGCCCTTGCTCGCCCGTTAGTGACAGAGTACGTACATTTATATGAAGCCTAACGGGATTAAAGAAAAGCGGTGGGGGGGCGAAGGGTTGTTAATACACATTCTATCTAGTCATAATTATACTTATAACCGCCAAGAGTGGAAGTTTATACACCATGGGGGTCTGTTTCAAGTCATCCATACGGTTATGTGGGCTGTATCCGATGAGAGGGCGGTCCTCATCCAGCCCTACGAACAGCATCGGGCAAGCGGCTGAAGGAAGAGAGGCCTGTCCCGCCGGGCAGAGGAGGCGAGCCGTGGCGAGGCAAGATTTACCACGCTCGGATGTCGTCGAACAATCGTGACAGGAGTGCGTATCCCAACACTACGCCGATGCATAGCCATACTTTATTTCTTCGAAACCAACTCTCCCCAGCATCTCGCGCCCTCTGGCCACCTTCCACAACCACCCCTAACCCTGTGGCACTCCCGCCAGGCCTCCGTCGAAGGGCATTCGTCTCAGGTGAGCAGGCACTGCTGCTCTCGGTTAGCAATGCTTCGTTGGGATCGGGTAATATCTGCCCCGTAGCTGGATCTACCCGACGGTCCCTCATCCATTTCCAATTCTCTTGATCTAACTCGGGCCACTCTGCCCGAAACTTCTTCCCTCCGTCTCCGGCTTTAATGTTCGCGATCCCCTTGATCGTCGACGTGACGCCCGGTACGGCTTTTGTATAGGAGCCGCCGCCGGTAGAGTTCCACCACCTCGACCTCGCTGCAAATAACTTGCGCTCGGCATCGGAGGCACTCACGCTACCCGTCGTCATCTCCTCGCTATTCATAAAAGACATGAGCCCGATAAGGATCGTCGAGACCTCCCATGCCGGGTTGAAGGACTTGGGGTGAAAGTCACTTATGCTGAGACACAGGCGGGTGGATGGCATGAAGCGTCCGCTGGGGGTGTGCATTCTTATCGCCGGAGGCGCAAACGGATATTCTGGCGGGAATATTAACGTGCCCCAGTACTGGCCGTTTTCGTAAGGCGTCTGGGGGGCACCGGTGAGTATGTAATGCCATCTACAGTTTCCATCACGTTAGACAAGCCTGCTCAATGGCCGAGAACGGGCAAGGTTAATAAGTATATACTGCGCTTACTCTAGTATATTGGACTCTGACGGGTGTGCAACGATGTACGGAGGTGGGTTCTTTTGGATGTTTTGATACTCGCGGGTGAGCTGGGATCAGATATCTCGTCAGCATGGCTACTATGGGGCAGTTATGATATATCTTTTACCTACTCGTTTGGTGGCGGCTTTGGTGGCCATGGTGCTCAGCAGCCCTGTCCTGTCGCTTTCGGGAGTGATTCGATGTAGATCGTGTGGTCTAAATAACGAGGACTTTTGACGTGGGAGAAGATATATTGGCACAGCCAGACGGTATCCAGCTTGTCAACCTGTACTGTAGCCCGCGGAACACTTGGGAATGATCCTCTCCGAAAGACGGCGCGACATGATTTATTTCCATGAAGATCCAAGATGCAAGCCCTGGCACGTGACTTTACCTTCGTCATATGCTCACGTGATGCTATTCTGGATTTAGACTTGGAAAGTCGACACGAAATCCAAAAAAAAAAAGGCAGAAGACGAAGAAGAGGCGAGAAAAGCGGCCGTTTGAGCGACGCAGTTACAGCTGTTGTAGAAGCCGCAATGGTTTCTTCACTTCACGGCGAAGAAGATGTATGTCTGTTATAGGTGGATGGCGCACCGCGTCGCTGGAATCGCCCCCAATTGAGCATTCCAAGCTAACATGTTTATCTTCTGTCTAGATCTTCGACCGTCTTCAGAACCAGAAGATTGACCCAAAAGTACTGGAAGAGCGGAAGCAGGCAGTCAATGAGAGAATAAGTAACATCTACCAGAAGGCTCAGACTCGCCTTGCCGAATTAGTATGTCCCTTTTGCCTGCTGGCTGTTGCTCTTGAAGTATTGTGCTCACACTAACCATCTCCTACTTCCAGATTGACCAGAACTCCACATTACCATGCACGATCTCGTCTGTTCAAGTCCTCAATGCGCCGAATACCAGACGAGGCTTTCTCGAGAGGGCTCTTCGGCCGTTGCTGAGCGAAAATAAAGGCCGCACGCTTACTCTATCAGAGACTCTGGAAGAAGTATCTAAATGCACAAACAGACTAAATCAGTTCGGTAAGGTCCATGAGATTCTATCCAATTCTTGAAATATCCGTGTATATTTGGTCGGTGATGGGGTGCCCGGCCTGTTTTTCTGGTGACTGTTTACTCATTTACGCCGAAACAGATATATTCGAGCAACCAATTAGTATTTACCTTGACCGACCATCACAAACCGACCCTAGCACCACTCCCACCGATCTGAGCGTTTACCTTGCGACTAAAGAAAAATCTCGACTTCTGCTGAAAACCGGAACCGATCTTGGAAACGCGGAGGGTTCGGCATACGGAAACCTCCTCTGGCGGAATATTTTCGGTGGTGCAGAGAATTTGAACTTCAATGCCTCCCTGGGCACACGCACTAGGTCATCCTACCAGGCCGTTTTTGAAACCCCGATTCTGAGTGATCCCAACTTCCGATGGGAGACCGGTGCCGTGGCGAGTGATACGAAGAAGCCGTGGTCAAGCCATGAAGAGGTATTGAAGGGCGCCTGGACCAAAATACGGTGGCTAAACGGCCAAGGTCATCGACATGAGATAGCCCTAAATGGTTTCTGGCGCCAGGTCACCGGTTTGGCTGCTGATGCCTCCCCAGCTGTTCGTGAAAATGCGGGTGATAGTGTGAAGACAAGCATCTCACATCTGTGGGTTAACGACCGCCGAGACAACCCTATTCTGCCAACAAGGGGATTCTACACCAAGGCTATGAATGAGCTCGCTGGTTGGGGCCCATTGAAAGGAGACGTAGCTTTCTGGAAGTCGGAAGTGGAGGCCCAGACAGCGACACCGGTTCCTGTTCCAGGCGTCAAGGGAGACTGCGGGATAAGTTTCTCATCGAGCTTCCGTGCTGGCCTGCTGTACCCATTGGGCCTTGACTCGGGCTCGAGACCTCAGATCTCGAAGATCAATGACCGCTTCCAACTTGGTGGACCTACGGACGTTCGTGGCTTCCGACAGTCCGGCCTAGGGCCTCGCGAGGGACCTGACGCGCTTGGTGGTGATGTTTATGCCGCAGGAAGCGCCAACCTCTTCCTCCCTCTTCCCCGTGTTGGCGCCGATAAGCCTTTCCGACTCCAGGCCTTCGTCAACGGCGGCCGTCTGCTTGCTCTGCGGACACCGACCGGCGAAACTCCTACATCCCACGCTGAGGTGCGGGAGAGCGTCTGCCATACAATTACCGAGCTTCAAAATGGCCTACCAAGTATCGCAGCTGGAGTAGGACTTGTATACGCTCATCCCGCTGCCAGATTCGAACTGAACTTCTCCCTTCCGCTTGTGGTCAGGAAAGGAGAAGAAGGCAGAAAAGGCCTTCAACTTGGAATTGGAATCAGCTTCCTGTAGACTACTTGTATCAACACATTATATAAATTTCCATGTTTGAAAAAGGGCAATAGAAATCCAGTCTCAATTCCTTCTTCTATTGCTTTGTATTTGTATGATTGTGGTGGTGCTCCGAAGTATTTAGACGCTCCACCAATTGATTGGTGCGGACCAATCCAACTTCCAGCACCGTAACCAAACTACCATTATTATCCCTTGTGTAATTCCAACTAACACTACACAGCTTTGCCAACTTATAACCTTCCCAGGTGCCATTACATCTCTACACACCTCAATCCTATCGTCTTGCACACCGAAGAAGAATTATCCGCTTCGACGACCTCTTAACGCCCGCCCGCTTTCGTAGATTCGTGGCAACCTAGCCGCTCCAGGCCACGATGGCCCAGTTCTATCAGCAGCAACAACACCAGCCATACGGCGCCCATCCACAGCAAACATCGGCGCAAAATCTCCAGTTTTACCCTTCGTCATATTCGTCCGTCTCGGGACACACAACGCCTGCACAAGTCTCTTACGGTGGCTATGGAGGCAGCATGTCATCATCCGCCTACCCCCCTTTAGGCAGCGGAGGAGCGTCTTTTGGGGGGCCAGCTGGCTTCGGTGGTAGTGCTGATGCAGTTAGTGGTCGAATGGGAGAGCAAGGAGGGCTGCGGATGGGCTGGTTGGCTGCGTTTGGAACAGAAGGCTATGAAGACGAGCCCCCATTGCTTGAAGAACTAGGGGTAAATTTTGAGCACATACGGACGAAGGTAGGTTTGCTTGTACTTTCAGCCCATTCAATCCAGTCTATATATTTATCTTTGCTGACCGTTCCTGTTTGTTTAGACTCTCTCTGTGCTAAATCCGTTCGCACGAATTGACCAGCACTTGATGGATGATAACGACTTATATGGCGCCCTTCTTTACATCTTACTGTACGGGACTTTCCTCTTATTATCTGGCAAGGTTTTCTATGGGTATATTTATGGCGTCGCTGTCTTTGGATCTGTGATCATCCACCTTATCCTCAGCCTAATGTCACCCACACTCGACCCGTCAACCAACGGAGCCTCACACGACCCCACGGGAATGAACATGAACATGAATCCTTCAGATGGAAGCCATGGAGGCCATGGAGGCCATTTCTCATCAACTCTTACCTTCCCTCGCTCCGCCAGCGTCTTAGGATACTGCTTCCTTCCCCTCGTTCTAACTAGTCTGGTTGGAATTTTGATACCCATGGACACTGTGTTCGGCTACTTGCTTACAACCGCCGCTGTCGGGTGGTGCACGTATAGTAGCTCGGGCATGTTTTGCGCCGTAGCTCGAATGCGCGGTATGAGAGTTCTGGTTGCATACCCGCTGGCATTGTTTTATGTCGTTTTCGGAATCATGGGCATCTTTTCGTCTAGGGGTGGCGGTACATTGGTCGCTAAGGCCACGGGCGGTTGAATTCCACAGAAAATATGATCTTGTATGACTTTTAATTATTCGACTCTCCTAGGGGATAATAGCTGCCTATCATCAGCTTGGAAGCCTTTTAGCATAGAGATACTTTGGTTCAAGGGCGGCATAAACGAATGAGTTCAGCTGTGTGAACTTGGGATAGCACTTAAAAAACACGAGATATCCAAAGGGTTACTTGAGAATATATATAAAGCGTTTTTCACCTAAAAGCCCTGGCATAAATACTTTCTATATTATTCGCTGAAAATATGCATATTTACTACCGTCCCAATTCATGCCTTGTGCCTATGCACGTCGGAGTCGTTGCTCTCTGTTCCGTCAATCTCGAGAGCAGTGATATAACCATTCTACATCACCTTTTGCATCTGGACTTCCAGCAGTGATCTACGACGGAGTCTCATGTGCTTTAGAACTCTCAGAACAAGCATGGTAGATATGTTGGAATAGGCTATCATTGCGAGATTAATGATAATTGGGGAGCGTGCAAAAGAAGCTGACATTTATCTAAATCATAGCTGGATAAAGAGCAATAATACGCATTTCTCATAAGAAGGGCCCCAAATCATTCTTCTAGAGACAAATCACAACACTATTAAGCGACTGACTAAAGAATAAAGGAAAGGCATAAGATCTCAAGATCACATCTCATAGCTAATCGGGCTGGCTGGAATCCAGGTCCCGTCATTATGCAGCTTAAAAATCAAAGTTAATGTTGAAGGTAATGGGCATGTTGAAGTTGATGTCTCCCATGCAGAATTGGTACTACATTGAGTGAAAGATATTAGTACCTAGGCATTCATCATACTACTGCCTGAGTATTAGTAGAGCTTTGACTTACCCCATGGTCGTTATTGCAACAAATAACCTTCTGTTCACAGCTAGTGCGAGACTTGACGCAAGTATTCTCTGTAGATAGAAATGGAATTAGTGGTCAGTAGTAGCAAATGAGAGGTAGAGGGGGGAGAGGCGCTCATAACATACTTCCATGCTCCTCGTTGCAGCAATAGGAGTCACCAGTCTTGCACAGATTTCCTTGCTCGGGGGAAGCTTTGTGAACACGGTGAGTTCCAGACAGGAGCTCATCCTCTGAAGATGATGATTCCACATCCTCTTCACGAAGAGCTTCTGCCTGAGGAGAAGATTCAGGCTGAGAGGGTATCACGGCAGCAGAGGGAGACATCTCAGCAGGAGATGGGGCAGCGGAGGGAGCCATCTGAGAAGCGGCAGGGGACACCTGGTCAACAACAGGAGCCATCTGAGAAGCAGCGGGGGTCATCTGAGCGGCAGATGGAGACACCTGAGCAGAGCCCACGGTAGGATTAGGTTCATTTGGAACTTGTTCCTGAGAGCCAGTTACCTGAGCCACAGGTTTAGCTGGGGTTGGACGGGAGGCCATGTCGTTGGGGACATTCTGAGCTTGAACCTCAGGTTCAGGCACAGGGCTAAGTGTGGTACTGCCTGGACGGATAGCTGGAGAGGCAGCAGTTGAGGATAAAAGGAGACAGAGAGAAACGAGAGAAGAGGTATAGAGGAACTTCATTTTAAGGAGCCAAGGCACTGTTTTAGCAAGTTTATAATAGAGTAGAGAGCCGGGAGAAGTCCAGTGAACAAGAAGGCAATGGTAATAATGGTGATGTTGCCGTTGAAAATTGTATTCCCCCAATGGCGAGAAGGATATCCTTTTATTTATAAAATGACAGGCAAAATCATGACATTCGGGCTTGATGAATACCAACAAGCGGGTGAAAGCAGAATCCAACAAGCCCGGTTTCTCCTCCCCTCTATCCCCCGCTCCAAGTAGATCTGTGTAAGACTGCAGCTGGAGAGTGGCACAAGAGTTGAGAGCTGATGAAGAGCTCCAGGTTCGCAAGGAAACGAGGGATATTGCCGTCGTGGCCATGTTCTGTTGGCTCTGTTATTCTCAAGACAGCCAGTGTCTCTCCAGAACCAACCCACAGGTCGACTTCTTCCCCGCTTGCCCGGCTGTGGAAGGTGAATCTGAAGCAACACAGAGATAATGTAGTAACCCGGTTACCCATCTTGCCAGGAAATTTTGTTGTTGTTATCCCATCCTGGGTATTGAAATCATGCATTGTTGTCAATATAATATCCCTACACTTGTTTTTTTCTGTCTGAGCTGGCTGAAAAGATGCTCCAGCTATAGAACATAAACATAGTTATCAAAATCTCTCTGAACCGCGGGTTACACAGCCCTGGCTAGTCGCCACGTTCCTGCAGACTAGGAGATGCTGGATGCTGGGTATTTTCGAACCGTGCCCTTTGGGGAGAAGCACCAAATAGCGTAACTGGATCTGGTTGAGGGGTTGATGCATCTCGGAGCCGAATGTTAATCAGATATACTTTCTTTTGCCTATGCACAACATCAGTCGTATACATAATATTAGTGTCACATATATGATCGTTAACAGCTTTGGATTCGTCGAATATGAACCTCGTGGAACGCCTGTCCGACCCGACAATGTTTAAAATACTAGTCAATCAATTTGTCCGTAAACCGACGCCGTGGTCCCTATTAGAACTAGGTTCTCTTCCTAATCCTAGTTTTTTTTGTCAATAGAGCTCACTGTTGCAAAACGAAAAGAGGGCCCGAAACTCACTGAGTGTGATGTATCTCGTACGCAGGTACCTTTTGCTCCGAAAGATTTATTCCAGAGGCAGGCTTGTCCCAGTGCTACCGTTCCGCATCGGGTGAAACATGACAGTTGGTTATCAAAATCCAGGAGTTCAGTGTCGGATACGGTTCAGCTTGATTTCACGATTCAGAATCAGCTTCTCTAGAGGAGCGCCATAGTCCTACATAGCTTTAGTTCGAGAGTCTAGATGCGGTTCCAGAGGCAAAAGTCGCAAGTATCAGGGCCGGGTGTAGTTGTCGGATTGTCCAAGGCATGCTAGATGGTAGGATGGACGCCTGTAGGTAGCGAGCGCTCCATGGAATACCACAATTCCCTCTCAGAGGAGAAATCCATCCTCTCACAGCAGAGGGTGTGTATGGTCCAGAAAAGCAAGAAAGTCTCTCCCCGTAGTAATATAAAAGGCATCTCACCATCCGGTGAAGAATCCCTTTTTTCTATCATCACTCACAACCAGAATTCCAATCCAAAGCCTTCTCTTCTCTAATCAACACAGTCTACCAAAGACATCCAATCTTCTCGAGTCAAGATGCAACTCACTCAAATCCTTGCTACCATTGCCGTTTTGGCTGCCGGTGCCTCTGCTTCCGGTGGCTCTGGCCACCACAGGCCTCACCGTCCATCCAACAGACTGCAGATCCAAGATGTAGGTGGCTCTGATATGTCCTTCGTGCTCCCATCAGATCCTTAAGCACATCGCTGGATAGTTCGTATATTAACTCTTTGGTATCTGCAGGTCAAATGCCACTCTGGTGCCCCTTACTGCTGTTCTCCCGAGAAGGATGTCGGAAGCACCTGCTCCAAGTTGACCGGAAGCGCTGTCAACTGTGACAGCGTTGTTGTCTGCTGCACCAACGATGGAGATGTTAGTATCCCCCAGACTTGACGCGCATTGTCCATGGATTTCATATCTTTTTGGCATTTGAATTAACAATGTTGCTTTTCAATGATATAGGACCGTGGCCAGTCCTGCTCTGCTGGCGTCGCCCACCCAATCACCTTCATTGACCTCGATACTAAGTTCAGAATCGACCACAACAAGGCTAACCACAACAAGGTCCACGTCAAGCAACGCCGTGGTGACAAGTACGGCAAGGACTACAAGGACTACGGCCACGGCCACAATGACTATGACAACAAAGACTATGGCCATGGCCGCAAGGACTATGGCTACGACAACAAGGACTACGGATACAAGGGATATGACAACAAGGGATATGACAACAAGGGGTATGACAACAAGGGGTATGACAAGGGATATGACAACAAGGGATATGACAACAAGAACTATGGATACAAGGGATACGACAAGGGATACGGATACAAAGGATACGACAACAAGGGATATGGATACAAGGGATACGACAACAAGGGGTACGATAACAAGGGATATGGATACAAGGGATACGACAACAAGGGGTACGACAACAAGGGATACGACAACTACTACTAAATCGCACAGCCCATCGTCGAGTCCAACTCAACAAGTGGTTTCATTGCGGCGAATTTCGATCCGAGATGTCGGGCGCCTTTGGATATCCCCAACGCCATACATATCCTCTATCCCTATCCCCCCTCGCAATGAGTTCATGGTCCTGGGTATAAAAAGTCTTGCTTCCCTTTTCCCTTCATTTTCTTTTCTCCTTTCTTGCCCCAGAAAGCCCTAATAAATGTGATCCTGCAACCTGGAAGGGGCGGTTAGCTATTCGGTTTTAACTTCGGCAGAGTGTGATAGTAGATCTAATAGACTGGGATATATCCCCTATTAGAGAGTTGTTCACTCCTTTTTCTAATAAAATTTCTTTAAAGTCTCAATTTTCCGATTGTGCTTCAACATTTTTTAGTCTTTGAGAACCAGAATAGATCCGTATGAAAGATGTCCTCGTAGCTTCATGAGAAATGTACACTGTCGTATATTCGTTGTCATCTGTATTTGTCTTTTGCAGTACATATTTCCAGGTGTCATAGAAGAATCATCGGGTATTGATGGGTATTCAAAAATTATTCATGCGAGCCATGAAGCAGCTATTATGGAGAACTTGCAAAGGTCTCTCCTTTCTTCGGAGCCCAGTTATGAAGCCATTCGCTAGCCTTAAATACGTCCCCATTGGTAGACTCTAAGGCTGCTATGCACCATTCCATTTCATAACTTTCTGTATGTGTTTCCGTGCCAACAACCCCCTCTGCAGCTAGTACTTCGGCTAATTCTCTCCGCCTTTGGGTGGTTTCATCTGTACAGAAATAAAGAGGCGACGTGTTGACCTTTGTAGGACCGATAGAGACCCCTTCAACGAATGGTTTGGTCATTGAAATTATATCTTTAGAAGTAAATGTAGCCCCTGCGTCAATGTTCGAATTCGCACGACCGGTTTTGCAGTATTTATTTCGGCACCAAGGTTTCCCGCACCCCGTAAGCATCTGAGAGAGATATTTTCGCTCGATACGACGGCGGAGCGCCTTACCCTCCGGGTCATAGACATCCACGTATAACGGGCCAAAACAGACTTTGCAAAGCCCAAGTGTGTCATTTGTCAAATTCCTTTGATTACTATTGGGGCCGTTAATTGTCCGGCTGCAGTTAATATTTAAGCATAACTGCGGAGACGACCGTGAGACTCGGTCGAGTTCATGGTGGCGTAGATGGGTATTCATGTCTCGGAGACGAACAATTTTGTGGCATAAATGACACTCTGTAGTTCTACCACCATCAACCAGCTCATGCGGTGTAAGGTTGGACAGAACAACTTCAGGATCTGAAACCTCCGGGTCCGACTCGCCTTTCTGAGGGACAACAAGGTGACAAAACTGACATAGGATAAGCTTCTCGGGACATACTGTGGTTCGATGCTGAGCCAAATCTGGAAGGTTACGAGAGACATGCTGGCAGTCGCGACAAGTATAGTTTAAATGGAAGATTGTATCATGTCTAACTTTACTTGAGGCCCCAGTTCCATATGAATCATCTTGAGCGCAATGCCAGTGACCTTCCCATTCGGACGATCGTTTCTGAAAGACTTTCCGGCATTTAGGGCAAATAACGTTGTTGCGAAGACAAAAGTTCTCATGCAGGACCATGGTTGCTCTGGGAACCCATTGAAGACAATTTGTGCATTGCGTTTCATTGGCACTATGCGCAAAATGGCCTAGGTCGTCCTCTGCCACCGTTTCCACTGGTTTGGCAGAAGTAGATACCCGAAGCTGGAACTTGATCGGCTGTGTCTGGCTTGCTTCTGCAGAATTATTCTGCCCATCTGGTCCCGAAAGAGGGGCATGTATAGAAATATATAGGCAATCCATATCTTTAACTTCCACGTTGGTAGGCTTAATCTCAATAGCTTTTGGAAACTGGTTCGAGAAATCACCCCATACATGTTGATCGCTGCGAGGTCGAGCTCTTTGTCGGTTTGAGAATGGGCTTGCGAAGATATCAACATCCTCATCGCCATCGACATTTATTTCTAGGATCAGAGGTTTCGAGCGTTCCCAGGACCGAAGCTCGTAATCCACATAATCCCCTTGACGAACTTGTCCATTCACTTCTTGTCCATCAGTTACCGTTCCGCCGATAGAACTTTGACCGGCGTATTCTGATGCTCGACTACTCTTTGCAAGCTTCCTTTTCAAGCTTTCCCTAGCTTGGTCCTCATCCATAGGCTCGATGTCTACCTCTAAATCAGTATCGACTATACATATTGCATTTCCTTCCGGCTGCACCTTGTCAATGAGAAATTGCATGGTCTCTTTTCGGTTAGCAAGAACCGGCAAAACTTCCCCGACGGTAAGGGTTGTGTAATTGTCTCGTAGTTGTCGCTCCAGCAAAGCTTTCCAATCTTCCACGTCATATCCAGCTTCTAATGGTCTCAAGCGTACATACGATCCCTTTGGAAGCTGGACTGCCTGCACTGTGACTGTAGGTAGCGTATTTGGAGGGGGTGTGCCTGATCCAGTATCGAGGTTCAAATGTTCTATACCGAGACTTTCCCGGATAAATGGGCTCAAAGAAACTTCGTTTTCATCAGCAGAGAATTCTCTGATTCCCGAATGCACGGCTCGGCCATTTAGAGGATTGACAAGACGGAATGTCAGAGGGTGTGGAAGTTCTTGTTGTCGAGGATCATTAGTACCGAAGGAATTGTGTGAGTTGAAATCTGTGGAAAGGGGATTCGCTAGCGTAGAGGATGGATTACTGCGAACTGCAGCAAGAATCTGTTCAAGAGCAGATTGCGGTAAGGTGATCTTGTCTCCGGTGAGTTTTTGAGTCTTGTTCGGCGGCGTCACAGAGAGCTTGCAGGTCCATGATAGCCCCTCCATGTCTTCGAAGTCTCCGAGTATGGGGAAGGGACAAACTTGCGTAATGAGAGAAATCAAAATATCGTATCAGACTGCCACACAGTGGCTTCAAAGAAGTATTAAAACATGATCCGCCACTAGTTACGAGTTGTTATATGTAAGCCTACCCAGCTCGGAGATGGTCAGGGAAGTTGATGGAAAGTCACGGATGAGGTAATCAGTTATTATTAGTAATCAATAAATAGCCTATGGTCTGTGCGTTTGTACCTGAAGCTGACTCAGCATATCCCCCAAACTCTAAACAGAGTACAAGAGGTTTAGCGATGATGAATAAAATTGATTTCAATGAGAGATATCTATATCTTCCGAAGTATATACATCTGAATTAGAAAAAAATACTAGTAAAAGTAGATCAAAGGTTATAGAACTCGCGTCATAATGTTCATTCCTCTGCCTCTTCGCCGAACAGAGCGGCCAAAACTCTCTTGCTCCACTGGTGAAGAGGTGTGGTTTGGGGTCTTGGTTGCTTCTGGTCGTAGACCATCTTGGTAAGTTGCTTGTACTGGAAAGTAGAGTCATTATCATATCTGACACCGTGGTCTGAATCGGTAAACCACTGGGTTGTCAGCCTGTCTGGTGTCACACCGCCGTTCATGAGGGTGTTAGAAAGGACAGCAGAGTTCTGGAAGTGGACGTTGTCGTCACCAGTACCATGCTGGATAAGATAATGGCCCTTGAGGTTCTTGAAACCATCGGTTTTGTGAACTGCAGTCTCACTGTAGCCATCCGCATTCAGCTCAACGGTCTTCATGTAACGCTCAGTGTACATGCTGTCATAAAGGCGGAAGTCAGAAACAGGAGCAGTGCTCATGCCAAAGGTGAAGACACCGCTGTCGGTTTCCATGGTCTTAGCAGTCAAGAAACCACCGTAGCTCCATCCCCACATCCCAACGTGGTCTTTGTCAGCCCAGCGGTTCTTCAAGATCTCCTTGGCGGCGAATACTTGGTCCTGGGGCTCAAGGAAACCGAGACGCTTGGTTACAGTGCTGCGGAACTTACGGCCCTTGAAACCGGTTCCGCGGTTATCGACAGTCCAAGTAACGTATTCAAGCTCTGGGTCAGAGGTGATATAAGCCTTAAAGTCCAATGCCTTCCACGCTTGGCTGACTTCTTGGGCACCAGGGCCACCATATGGAGTGAAGAGGACAGGATACTTCTTGAATGGGTTGAAGTTAGGTGGCAGGCGTTGCATGACATTGAGAGATTCACCAGAAGGAAGTTTGATCTCAAAAAAGGTGATCTTGGGTAGCTTGTAGTCCTTGAGCTTTTCAATTAGGGCATCATTGCTAGTAATGGTCTTGATGGGCTTCTTCTTGTCCTTGACAGAGTAGAGCTCCTGGTATGGAACGTTGGGGCCCTGGTAAGAGAGAATGTAGTAGCCACCCTTGGCGGAGAAGGATGCAGAGTAGTACGCAGCCTCCCTGTCGTTGACGAGAGGGGTCATAACCTTGGTGTCGTACGAGACAGAGTAGACATGGCGAGTCGTGCTGTGGAATTTAGTGGAGGTGAAGTAGATCAACTTGCTCTTAGTATCAACCTTGAGGATGGCAGTGACTTCCCATTCTCCCTTGGTTAAAGCAATCTCCTTGCCTCCATCAACAGGGTAGAGGTACAGGTGGGCCCAGCCAGAAGCGTCAGAGATATCGACGTAGTATTCCTTGCCATTGACCTTACCAATATACGACATGGACAGAAGGTTGTCAATCCAGCCGTCGGTACCGTCTCTTTCACGAATGACCTTGGATTCCTTGGACCCAACCTTGACGTTGACAATCTTCTCTGTATCCTGAACACGGTTAAAGGCACGGAAGGCGACGCTATCGTGGCCACTGCTGAGCCAGGCAACCTCACCAATGATAAGGTCATCTTCGGGGAATGCAGTAACAGGGATAGAGGTTTCCTCGGACGAAGCGAGGTTTAGCAGATGGAATTGCACCGTTGGGTTCTTTGCGGAGACTTTGGGGTAGCGGATTTCAAGCTCTCTTGGGTAAGCAGGGGCGATCTTTTGCTTGTTCTTATAGTAGGGAACAGTGTAGGTCGGGACCCCGGTCTCGTTGAAGCGGAGGTAGGCAAGGTATTCACCGTCGGGGGAGAACCAGAGAGCGAATCGATCTCCGAAGATTTCTTCCTCGTACACCCAGTCAGGGACGCCATTGAAGGTGTCTGGGCCGCCGTTCTCGGTGATGCGCTTGGTCTTGCCGCTGTTCCAGACATACAGGTCGTTTCCACGGACGTAGGCGATGGAATTGTCGACCGGGTTCCATTGAGCATATTGGATGTCACCACTCTGGTCTTCGGCCAAGGGAGTCAAGGAACCCTTCTCGATGTCGAGGATGAAGTAATTGGCAAAATAGGAGTGACGGTACTGCTTGGTGTAGTTGGTAGCCCACAGCACAGCAGTGAGATCTGGCTTAATCCAGTAGTCGTAGAAGCCCTTGGGGACCTTGTCTGCAGCCACAAGTGTCTTGTTGGTGTTTGTGACGATGTTCTGGAGGATCAATGCACCGTCATCGGACTGGGAGATGTACTGGCCATCTTCATCGCTGTTAATCCAGGCGAGGGAAGTGGACCTTGGCGCAAGTGTAGCTCTAGGGACACACTCCTTGTAGGTCAACAGCTTCTTTCCACCGCCAGTTGGTGGTCGAGGCTCACGCGGGGGCACAATAGCCTGGGCGACACCCACCAGCAGAAGAAGCGAGAGGAACTAGATGTTTTGGTCGGGTTAGCAATCTACATATCATTTCCTTGTGGGACAAATGAAGCCACCTACCTTCATGCCGGGCTGGAGCGGTGAGAACTACTCTTGGGAAATAGTTCCAATGCAAGAACTGGTCGCGAGAAAGAAAAGAAGAATCCGAGGACTCATATCGGGGATGCTGAAGGGCCTTTTAAATAACCAGCTTCCTTCACCCCGGAGACTCTAAGCGACTCCGCCAGCACATTCCCTGCCGGAGCTAACCCGCATCCTGTCAGTCGTACGGAGTACATCGTACAGGCATATAACAACAATGTCTATCTCCATGCATTCTCTCCAATCTCGCCTCCCTTGGCTCTTCGCCTTGGCCCAGCGAACGACCAGTGCAAGGATGTAACATCGCCATTGTCCATCCTTGCGTCCTCCCTGGGTTAGAAGCGGAAAACACCAGGCAGGCATCGCATCGCATGCATGAAACAAGTGTGTTTCTTTACCTTGTGCTTCTCATGGTTTTGGGGACATGCTCTTTGTTTATCCATTGGACTTGCAGACATGGCAAGTTGTTGGTTGTTGGGTGCCAGAGATGAAAACTAACTTGTTCACCAATAAGTGATAAAAATCCTTTTTATTGTGACCTTGTAGAATTAATCTAAAGCAAAGCCGCAGGTGACCTCGTATTGACAGCGTTATTTTAGTTACATAATTTTAAATCCAGGGATCAGGAGCTATTCGGAAGAACACAGCCTTTTGGATGGTTATTCCCCACAGAACCCATGCTGGAAGATGGAGTTCGGATGAGAGAGCATTTCCATTGCTCCTAGCTTAGTGTATATAACCAGTTAGTAGACTACTCCGTTCAATTGACGGTATAGGTAGGAAATGGGAGAGATATCTGACCACCAATTATTCTGGAAACCAAGTCCGCAGCGTGAAATTGCAGGGATACTCTAACACGTACTACATAGTATGTAGACTTGGTATTATTTGGCGTTGAGCTCCAAGCACCCGTAACTATCGCTCCTACTTTTATACGAAGCTTAATCCGTCTAGCCGGACTTTGACACAGTGTGGGAAATCAAAGCGATACCCAGCGTTGAACCAATTTCCGTTCTCCATCTTCGTAATACGAGCATCCCTTTCGACTTGTATCATGGTAGGATTCTTCAGGATATCCTCTTATGTGCATAAAATGCTGCAAAGGATGAGAGCCAGGTGGAAATGTCAGCCCCAGTCTTTTCCCCGCAAAGGTCCAGAGCCGAGCATGCCTTTCTTCTCTCGCTAACTCTTCGACAGGGAAGAGATTAATATGATCATGATAGACTTGGCCATGCGTATCTCCCTTTATATACATTTATATACGGAGTATACCCATCGTTTTCTCCAAGCCATCGTAGATTAATTAGCAGTCACGGAAGCAGGTCATCCCAAAATAAGAGACTTTGATGCACAAGGAGGAGGGGGATCCACGAGCGTTTATATTAAACCACCCTAATATAGGGCAAGGATCTTGTCCTCGGAAGCTTATGTACCTTGCTTGGAAGCATTTATTCCCTTCTCGATTCCTTCCATATACTATGTATGTCATGAGGGGGATTATAGAATAGTCTAGAAAAGAGATAGCTTTCCACCCAGAGGTGTCTTAGCCCCCCATCTGCTGCGAGTCTCCTCGTTGCGAGGTCAAAAGATGGTGCCTCAAATATCGACTTCGGAGTAACAGATACTCCGTTACCGTGATTATATAATAGACCTCGGGACATCGGGAGAAGTGTATTCACGTGACACTTCAACTTCCAAGGTTCAAAAGGGGAAGTCGATATAGAGAGTAAAGAGAAGCATCTATGAATTATTGTACGGGCCTCTACAGTTGTGATCAATCCAGAGTTGTGGAAAGGCATGCTGATTTACATGTTTGGTTATGGCCCCGCCAGCATAACGACATGCCAGCGATGTTACTCTGCAACTGAGGAGGCGATTCCTCGGAGCGATGTTCATCCTTGTGAGAGCCTTTACGAAGACTGGACAACTAGTTATCCATAGTCCTCGTGTGAGGCGTTATGGTTCTGTACCTCGTCATGCTGAAGTATATAATACTTCAAGATCTCGCCTGTTCTTCTCTTCAACCTCCCAAGGCAACTTGACATCAGCGCGAATATTTCTCTGCTCCTCAATTTCCACTCTCCTAGTGTTCCATTTACCTATAGAATCTCCATCACTATTCACCATGGACCCATTTAACTGGTCTTACCACTCCATTGCTGCCGCCTACGTGCTTGGCCTAGCACCTCACTTATACTTCTATCTCAAGGCCATGAAAACGGGCAAATACTCTAACCTAGTGTATGTTATGCAGCTCTTATCATAAATTGCTGCATACCATATATACAAATAGCTGATAAATAATTACCATGTATTCACAGGCCAAGAAATACCCTCGATGCTCTCCGTGGAGTTATTCCTGCAAACCAATGGGACAGGCTCTTCCGGATCAGAAGCATCCACCTCAATGCCATGGAGAGTATTCCGATCTACGCCGCTACCATAGTATGCTTCATTTTCCCTACCAGATGACTTCAAACACTCTTTTTAACCTCTATGAAACTAGATTGCGGGCAATATTGCCAAGCTTCCGATAAGTGAGCTCAACTTCCTTGCCGCTGAATATCTTGGCTGCCGTGTCTTGTTCGCCGCATTATACATGGGTACCAGCTCAGAAATTATGAGCTATGCACGAACTGGTGTCTGGTTCTGGAGTCTCGGACGCCTCCTACAGACCCTAATTAAAGCTGGGAATGCCGTTTCTGGTGGCCTCTAAACTGTTATGAACCTTCATATGGTGATTGTTTGAACATGCATTCTGAACTGTACTGGAGGTAATGGTTTCATATTATGTTACTCTTTGAGGCGGATTACATGGTTTCATTGAATAGAGTGGTTAGTTCGACAATAATAGCTAAAAATACTAATAAAATTCCCATTTGCAGTATCAGTACAACATGCATAGGTCTATGAATGTACGGAAATCATCCTAAACCAATAAATCATATTAACGCCGAGATAAATATTCCCAGTGTGACAACAGTACATCGATTACCCCTTTCTAATGGTTATTCAATGCTGCTAGAGAAAATAGGATAATTGATTGCTCGATCATTTTAGCTTCGTAAGGACAGAAATCCCAACCTATAACGCCTTTATATTAACTATTTCCCCAGAGCTATGCAGAAACACTATTATGATTATATCTTCACGAAACAAACAATTGAATAGTCAAAAACAAAATAGGAGAAGAGGAAACGAAAAATGAAACAACAATAGTGATAAATCTCCTGTCCGCCTTTTCTTTTTCTTTTTTTAATTTATTTGGATAATAAGTGTCCATAAGGGGGTCTTTCGTCCCTTCACGGTATGTTATGTTGTAAAGCTCGTGACTTTCCGAAGAAGTTTGAGTGTGTGGTTTGCGTGTCTAGCTCTCAATATCCTTGGGAGAACTGGCCCTAGTTTGGCGCCAGAGGCAAGCACTGCATATCGCAGAGAACGCAAACAGAATACTGATATCATTATTAGCTCTTGGACTACTGATGCCTGTATTTCATCTAGATTTGGATAAAAGAACCAGTACTCACCACAAGGCAATGCTCAGACCCCAGATTGACTTCATTTGGTAACAGGTGAGCTTCGATGCCCCAATCCAATGGGTGTAGCTGATCTTTCCGCCGTCTTTCGCCAGGCTTTCACCCAGGGCATTCGCGAAATCATACGCTGATGAGTAACCGCCAGAGACTTGGCCGATCACATTGCAGTTCACGTACGACAGAGGTTTTCCGACAGTGACGGCGACGACGACAACAGCAATTAAATGGGCACCGTCCAAGCCAAGGTTGATCAGGTACGGAAGGGTGCCATCAATGAAAAGGATGAATGTAATTGCGCAATACAAAACGGCAATGACGGTCTAGTGATTGCGGAGGTTAGCTTCCTTCAGTATAAGCAATGTTTGACTGCACAAACTTACCACGCTGAGGGTGCCAATGAGCACATTTGGCGGAGTAGCATTTGCGTTCACCATCTGCGCGATGAAGTTGGCAGTCATCCCAATGATGGAGACAAGACTGATTGCCTGGAGAATTCGAACCGCCTTGAAGGAGGTGGCCAGGGCACCCTGTGGACCGGCCATGGTGATGCTTGATGTCTTATTTAATGTAAAGAAAATGAAGAGGGTAGGTGAAGAAATAGAAGGTTAATGTGCCTTGGAATGAGCGTTTTCAATGGACGGAGAAAAGAAATGAATCGACTGGGCCGCCGGGAATAAGATGCAGGAAATGAACGAGGATTGACGTGCAAGTCTAACAGAATGAAGGAGGGAGATGTATGTATATATAGGTATAATGTTGTTGTTTGAATAAAGGATATTGAAAAGGAAAACAAGCTAGAGATGCAAAGATATGAAATAAGGGAAATAAAAGAAAAGAAAAGGAACAACACTCTATCAAAGAGTGAGAAAGTCGGTTGATTGTTGGTTGCTGGAGAACGAGAGAAAAACAGCAATGAAAGAGCAAAACAGCTGGCTTTATACCATGAAATCTGGTCATGATCTAGACACTGGTCTACATCATTATGCGCCTTCGGGATAGATCATCCTTGATGGAGAACGGCGAATTATTTTTGGATCATAGGATCATCCTATTCATAGAACTGTCTAGATCACAGTTTTATTTTTATTCCTCCCGAGATCAACTTCTCAAAGTTCTAAGTTATCAGAACTTGGACGTTTCAAATGCACCACAAGATTGGGTATTCTCATCAGCAGGCGCTGTCTTTCCCAATGGGATCACGAACTGTCAGTTTCGTAGAAACTAACACGGCTCAACTGAGCCTATGAGGCCATGTATGGGGCCCCAGGGTTCTGGAAACGACCCACAGGTGGCCCCCAGGGAAGTGTATGAGCTGTGCCATCGCTGAAGGGCTGAAGCTTGGATGGAAGCTCGAAGGTTGGAGCTCTGACAGCGAAAGGAATCGCTATTTTGATCTTGTTTAGTTGGAACGCCACTGGGCCCACCACGGCGCTTGCTCTTTCACTCGGCTGCTTGCTGGCCGTAACTGTCAGCCAAACGATCGAGAGCCCAGACACAGTCTGAAGCAGCAGTGGGGACACTTTTTCGCGAGGCGACTCGTGTCCCTGACCGAACCTAGACTTCTTCAGAGTCTTCATCGGATGCTATTTTGGTCGTCGCAGTTTTGTGGGATGAAGATCGAGATTTTGAACCTGCGTATCACGTGCCAGAGCTTAGAAGTGCGAGTGTGCTAGAAAACGCTGTCATAACATATGTATAGTATTAAGGCTAGAGTTGTTCAGCATGCTCTGGTGCTTAGTGATTCTGTTTGGTCTTGTTTAGTTAGTTAACAGCCGCAGAGTTGCGTTCCGTGTCAGTCACAACCTGGTCGAACGAACTTTGGCGCTTCCCGCGGGACATACACAGAGATTCGCATTTCAACTCGCTCCAATTAACGAGGCTCGGGCTAACTCTTGACGAGGCTCGTAGTTAGTTAGTCGGTCACCTGCGCGACTATGTTTATCCTAATCGAGCGCCTGTGGCCGCCTTGCCCGTTGAAAGAGAAAGGAAAGGGAGCTACCCTGAATATCTGATATCCATTCCTTAACGGACATTCCCGAGGCCATCTTCTCTAGATAACGGGGAGTGGAACATGACATTTGGATACACACTTTCATTTTCATACATATACCCAGCTCTTGTTTGATATTGATGGTGGCACTGTCAGTACCGTTGCCTGGCGACGTTTTGCTGGTTTCTAGTTTTTGGTCAGCCTGGCTCGGATTCTTGCCGTAGCAAAGCCCGTGAGTCAAATACCAGAGCATAGGAAGCAAGGCTGCGTCTAAACTAGTCGCCTATTTGCATAGTATCCTATTCAATGCTCGATCGAACCGGAATTGCTGGAGCTCTCGTTATTCATTCATGCAACGCTATGGGGTCATTTCCCCCATGCGGCTGAACACCGCCCCTTTTTAGAGATATTCCCTAAAACTTAATAACTTTGATTAATTTCATAGTTTTGTTAACCCAAGTTAAATTCAACTAAATGGAAAGACACTAGATACAAGAATACTCATAAGAAAGGGAAGAAGAAAGAGAAGGATCTTCTATTAGAGAGGGCTTTTATAGTACCTCTTGCTTAGATAAGTCAAGACTTATATACTATATCTCTATTACATTATATTTGTACTTTGATAACATTATATAACTTTAGACTTCCGTATGGGTGGGTTCTTATAAGACTCTGCGCGAATAGATCCTACGTCCGGGTTAGAGTCGACTTTGACACCGCTTACTCGACGCGGAGGTCGTCGTGGCTGGTGTAAAAGCCTCCTCCCCGTCCCAATTCCGTTCGATCGCCTTCCAGTACCGAGCTGCATGATCCCTCACCAAGGCACAGTGTGGACTATCCGGAAACGCTACCCCGTCGATAGCGCATTCCAATCGCGCTCTTGCCTCCGCCTGATGTGACTCTACTTCCTCCCACCCGACCATCTGATCGGCTGTGGAGTATAGGTAGAGCCGTCTGGCCGTTGTCCCAAATATAGCAGGGTTATTAAGCTGCGCACGTAGCTGCTGAACAGAACTCATCCATCCGGTCTGCTGGAGAACTGTAATAAGACCTATCGCGGGAAAGAGGAGGGTCTTGCCGGCGGTTCGAGCTAAAGGCGGACTACGAGGCAACGAAAGTGTAGCTGCCTGGTATGCGCGCGAGAAGGACGGGCCTCCGGGGCAGCAGTCGAAAATGATTCCGCGGAGATGGGCTCCCAATTCCAGGGGTGGGTGGCCAGGATCATTGCGTAGGGAGAGAGCGAGCTGGATTGCGGTGTTGCAGCCACCGTGGGAGAAAATGTGTAGTAAGATGGAACAGCTGCCTTCTCTCTCTGCGGCGGCGTAGATAAGTCGACGAATAATATCGCGCGCGGGGCCTAGACGCGCATGGAGTACGCTGAACGGGAGTACGGTAATCTCAAGGATATGAGTGGTAATAAGAAGGATGCGGGAATCCGGATAGAGGACTCGGTAGCCATCGATATATTTCTGTATGCGCCGAGGAGTTGCGCCTCCTAGCCAGGTACAAAGAGTGACGAGCGTAGTGCTGGCGGATCCGGGAGGTTCGAAGAGATAGATATTGTCGCCAACAGACTGGAAGTGTTCGAAGGAGCTAACAGGTGCCATCGTCGCTCCTTGACAGATATGCAGGCAGCGTACAAGGTGTAGATGGACGTTTGAGAAGGTGACTAACCCGACTTGGGCAGTAGTTAGTTATATAAATATTCGTTCGCCAGGCACGTAAGCTGGTTAAAAGGGTGAAACCGCCGAGCTGTTACCTCGATGATGCAGTCTAGTTGACTGTGCATAGTGTATAGTGTATATAAAAAGCATATGTGTATTGGTATTCGCCTAAGAGTTACCGGGATGTCCATCTGGCACCACTACTAACCTGAGTACGTTGTTCCTTTTTCTGAGTTATACAGCGGTTTTTGTACAGTTAACCCCAAGCCAATAACTAATATATATATATATATATATCATTAGGGGACCGAATATAAGGCCAAATATAATAGATTACCACTGCCTGACGAGGATATATATATCTTGATGAGAGACATCAGGGTGGCATGTCTGTGAATATAGTTATTAAGAGTCAGGCCATATTGACGATAAAGAAGCCTGCAGGCGGTATAATACACCCTCGTTTCTTTGGCGAGACCGGAGCCCGAGAGCCATGGATAAGGAGTGTGAATATAGCCGTCGCTCGGCGTGTTACCGCTGCCACTCGCAGAAACTGTGGTGCGTCTAGGTAAACGAGCAAACGAGCAAACGAGCAAACGAGCAAACGTGGAGATGATACTCTTGAGGTGGTATGCTAACGGGATAGTAGCGGCGGCGTATACTCATGATCTCGCGCTTCGTCGAGGGGTGCCAGAATGGCTACAAGGGGTTCGAGTCAACACCCCCCAGCTCCGAAACGCATGGCCGACAGAGCAATTGGCACCTAAAGTTGTCCCGACCGGTTTTCCCCTTCGATGAAACCTTCGACCTGGCGAACTAGTATCAACTCTTATGTACGCCCTCACACTGAGAAAATATTTGCTGGTAGATAGTAGCCGTAGAACTCGAACTATGCTTATCTTTATTGTGGCCTTTAATCTCATGTCATCCTTTGAGTTCCCTGCCTTGAGCTATCAAAGAGGTTGTGTTGTCAACTTATAGTCTTGTTGGAGCCGCAACCGTCTCGGATCTTGGCATAACTAACTAAAGATTAAAAATTTAATTGAAACAGCAAGTCGAGCGAGCTGTAACGCGCAGAGACAGATATACACGAACACCAGGATGGAGCTATTGGATTAATTATAGTATTGCCCAATTCCTTTGCGCCGCTACTTTGGGGAATTTTTTCTCCGTGATGTCGTCCCGTCGATGGATGAAAAGCTCTTTGGATATGCCGGGGAAGCTGGGTCGTCAGTATGTCTGTTCTCAATGCGCGTCAGCTCTCAGACGCAGCCTAAGTCGGCCTGTTGATGCCTCTCTGCGCGTTCGATACTTTGCTGACCTCAATGGCGGCATACATCTGGGCTCTGTTCCGGGGCGGTCGTCTTACTCGACGGAAAATGCAAGTCAAACGACTCACTTTCTTTACATTCAAGACTTCAACTAACCGTGGAAAATGTGCAGGCCCCGCCCTTGCCCGAGAGTTCTCTCATGGATGATCGCATGAGACAACTCATCGAACAAGACCTTAAGAGAACAGATGACATCCGGACCTACCTTCGAAAATGGATAGAGAAACGACCCAAACCTATGGACCCTATTATGGAATTTAATGGAACTACAATTACCCCGTCTACACAGAAAACTGGTGGCATGTTTCTGGATAACTCCGTATTTGAAGACAAACTCCCGGAATTATTGGGATCTACGGACCTAGAGACCGACCCCTCACCCTTTTTACACCCAGGTGATTTGGTTCAACTACGTCAGTGAGTAGCAGAGTCGGGCCATACTATGCGGTAACGATAGGCTAACTAACGCATAATAGTCAAAGTGGAACCTCTTCTGGTCAGCTAGCAGTTTATCTACGTACCATGAATGAACAACAGCAATTTTACACCTCCAGGGGGAAATGGCGAATTGCTCGGCCTTCGGAAGTGAACTACATCACAAAGCATCGCTTTCCACCGGAATTGCTCGAACCAATATTTCCATATCTACCAACTTCCGTAGTAGCAAAGGGCACCATGCCACAGCTAGCCATGGAAGGCGGAGTTCCACGCCATATCGGGGCCGCTTTGCTCAGCTTGATCCTTGAGTTCGAGACAGCTGCTTCAACGGTGTTTGCAGAAAATTCTAATACTCTGAATTCTATACATGAACGCCTTGCAACGGATACAGAGCCCGTTTTGTTAACTCTTGAGCAAATTGCTACTCAGCTCCTAGGACGAGATTCAGATACCCTCTCCAAAGCTGAACGATACGCAATCCATCTAGCAATTGACCAGAACCCAGTTTCCATTATTGCAAACCAAAGTCTGTCCGTGGTTGAATCATACACTCTTCGCCCAAAGGCGCAGACGGATCTCATCAATCGTGTAATAGGATGGATGCGAGAATATCAATCATTAAGGAGTACTGATACAGGCAAGAAAGAACAGAAAACTTCTAGCCGTAATCCTATTGGGTCCTTTGTCAAAACTGCTCGGCAGTGGATATCTCGAAGTCGTGCTTCCCGATCTCCCACACCATCGTTTAGTTTAAGCCCAAGATTTGACTCCGCTGGCAAGTCAGAGCAGGAGGTGGATCCTCCAAAAGAGAACTCGAAGCCATCCACGGCGTCATTTTCCAAAACAGACAGAGATATAATTGAGTTCTTGAGGCTTTGGGTCCTTCCACCGCTGTTTGTGCGTGACTCTTCTCTTCGGAGTACCGGATCCTTTATCCTCTTCCATATCGGAATGTATGAAAACTTCAACCTCAATGAAGCCACCGGATATTTAGCCTTGCAGGAGCTTGGCATTTTAACTCCTTGGGAAAATATCCATGTGCTCAACGAGCAGGTCGCCTTACCAGGACATGGTTTGTCCCCAATATCTGATGCCATAGTCGAGGAATGCAATAGATTTTGCGAGTCGCCCAACTGCACAGATACCCTGGTTGATTCTATGAAGGATTTCCGCAAGGACTGGGGTGATATGCCGGTATTTTGTGTTGACAGCGCATCTGCGGCGGAAATCGACGATGGTTTCTCACTTGAACCAATCCCAGGCTCGTCGGACACCTTTTGGGTTCATATTCATGTCGCCAATCCGTCAGCATTTATCCCTCATGACCATGTTCTTGCCAAAGGGGCAGCTCATTTTAAACGCTCCTTTTACACGCCTGAGCGGGTGTATCCGATGTTCCCACCAAGCCTTACTCATGACAAATTCAGCCTTGGGCCAAATAAACCCACCATAACATTTAGCGCTGTTGTTAATATGGAAGGCGAAATGCTTGAAACTAAAATAAGCCATGGCTATATTAACAATGTGGTGTATATTACACCCGATAGACTACGCAAGCTCTTTGGTATTGATGTCAGCAATAATCCTTCATTATCCCTGGAAGTTGGTGGTACGCCAAAACGACCAGAGCGCCCTGAGCTCCAAGATCATGTTTCGGAAGAACACCAGGTTCTTTTAGAGACTATGGAGAGATTGCTTGCCGGTCGCCGAGGCAAGCGCATGAGGAAAGGCGCTATAGAATTCTTCTCAAACTACCCGTCTTCACCACTTGTTTCTGGAGGGGAAGAAGGTGTACGCTCATACACTGGAGATATCTCGGGGCGCTACAACTACAATGATGATCCCTGCATTGGAGTTAGTGGACAGCTTACGCCGTCAGATGGGTCCTTGGAAGCGACTAAAACCGATTTTGTTGCGCATGCTATGCTTCTAGGCGGAGAAATTGCTGCTCAATGGTGTAAAGAGCGTGACATTCCCGTGATATTTTCTGCTGCTGCCTACAACCTGGACAAGGTCACCACTGATGACCAAGGGGAGTTTATGCCTGGTTTATCACCATACAGCCAACTCCCTAGGGCGTTCTCCACTTCAAAGCCAACTCCTCATATCACCCTGGGTATGGACCAATACAGCAAATGCACTTCACCTCTACGACGTTATTCTGACTTAATTGCCCACTGGCAAATTGAGGCAGCTTTGCGCCATGAGGCAAAACAGAATGGGACAGCTCGAAGCAACCAATCCCCTTTGAAGATAGACGAAAATGCCCTTCCATTCTCGCGAGAGGACGTTAAAGCAATTATTGTCCGCTCAAACTGGCAGAACAAGGCCGCAGACCGGGCTCAAATTCTCTCCCGAGAGTTCTGGGTTCTCCAAGCCTTATTCCGTGCCCATTATTTCGGCGAGGCCAATCTTCCAGGGGCCTTCCAATGTGTCATTGTCAGCCAACTCGCAAATTCTAAATCTACCTCTGAGCCAGACGAGACACAATACACAGCCAATCTACTACCTTTCCGGGTTCGATGCGTTGTGACCGCAGATAAAACCTGCACGGAGTTCAAACCTGGAGACTTGGTGGAAGCAACCATTTCCAAAATCAATCTTTACGCAGTACTTCTTGGTCTCAGAGCTGTGCGCCTTATTAATCGCCCTGAAAAAGCACGAGCAACCGTGCCTCTTGGATTTCTCCACTGATTCTTCTGACTTCTAGTTTATTTTTATTATCTTAGAGACAATGCCTGCGGAGTTGGATGCACTTATAACTGTATTTTGGACTAGTGGCGGCATATTTTACGCGGAGTTAATCATGATATCCCATCTCTTCGTTCTTTCCAATTCTTATAAAAACCTACAATTTTCACTCTTGTGTGATTTGCAAGAAATATGATTTCCTCGGGATCAAGGTATAGTGGTAAACTCATGTAGTCAAGTCATACGGATAGTATTTATATCCGGAAGACATAGGCATATATGCTTCTATGTCATGCTCTGGAGATTGCCTTTTAACGTGAAATGTCTTGTTTACGCAAGAATGTCCGCATTTATACAACGATCCAATCTGGTTCGCTGAAAAGATCGAGTTCATTGACAATTAATGCTAAATCCTAGGCCAAACACCCATCACATTTGCAATAAAGCGAACCGTAAAGTGACTATACCATTCATCTGGGATGGTAATAGTCTTCCCGGTATAATTCCTCATTAATTTGATCGGTTCCATTCCCAAATCCTGCCACATATTCAAGAAAATATATACTCCACGCATGCAGAGAATTCAATAGTATATTTCCACTTCCGGTAAAATCAAGAAATATCCCATCTATTGTACAAGTAGTTGAAAGTGAAAAAAGGCTCGGCATTGTTGGACAGAAAGTTTCATAGGTCGGGTATCTGGCCGTTATTTAAAGGCTATGGATGAGATAACGTTAGTTGAATTGTAGGCAAAAGGCTAGCTGCAGTTGGCAGTTATAAGGGGTTCTGCAAAGCTATTGCAATAGCTCGAGCGGTTGGATATTGCAGGTGGAAAGGCGTTTCATCTACGTACGCAGGGAGAAGCCATTCGCTGAATGGACTTTGGAGAAAAGCGACTGCGGCCTGTGATATAAGAAGAAAACATATCAGCCAAGGTGAACAGGCAGATTCTGCTTGATATTGGGAAATATTATTGGGACAGCCGGGTGATCGAGACTTACCCCAAACATGATAACGCTTCTCACCATTGTAGCATTTTCTGACGAAGTCAACTCGGAGTAAACTGTCGACACAATACCACGAGGCTCCCCGCGGGATGAATGGGAGATAACACGTTGCTTTGGAGCCATTTTGTGAAGTAGGCAAAATTAAATTAAGCGTCGATCTATTTCAGCAAAGATGAATCCTGTTGAAATGTTGGTTATATTTCTGGTTGCGGACAAAAATTTCGGGAGGAAAAGAAAAGTTGCGTTCTTGGCGTTTGCGCGTGCACGTACATACAAGCTTCCTCAGAAAGCATCTCAAGCGCAAACAGCTTCATCGATGCACTTCTCCGCGCTTAAGTAAGGTCCTGTGGAAGACATATTTTGTGCCAATTATTAAAGGTTGAATGTCCCTCTATTAAAAAAATGGAGAGTATTGATGATATTTTCAAGGTATTCTCAAACGAGTTTCTCCGGTGCAGCTTCATTAACATATTGCGCGTGAACTGAACAGCTATATAGAAACCATCACATCCCTCCAATAGCAAGCGAAAGCTTGAACCGGCGCGAGATCCAAGTACGTTCTATCAGTCGATGGCATACACTTACGTTGAGAACACCATTTCCAGTTGCTAACCACATGGTTGGATAGCTGAAATATACAAAGCCGCGAAACTAGGCGCTAACGGAGATGCAAAGGGAGGCAAAGTAGCTACTGTTGAAGACGAGCATGAGGACGATGTTGCTGGCCCGGAAATCCCACCGGACTTCGAGGAAGATGTCCCAGACGATGAGGAGGGTAGATTCTTTGGGGGTGGTGTGACCAAGGACACAACAAATGCTTTGGACTACATTGACAAGCATGAGAATGAAGGCTCCGCGGTAGTTTGACACTTCCAGGCTGTTTCAATGTTTTAAACCCGGCTTGCTAATTCCTTTGGATTTAGCCTCATGTTATCGACTCAGCTTGGTTACGCAGGACCGCTCTGAACTTTGAGAGAAAGATATCAAAGAATGCTGAGCTTCGGGTTAAATTTGAAAATGAACCGCAAAAGTATTTTCTTGAACCGAACAATTCCTTCTTTTTTTCCCTTTCAAGGTGTCTAAGGTCGCTAACACCTCGGCTAGGTTCATGGCATCCGAAGCTGATTTAGACGTCGATATAAAGTCCCTATCAATCTTATCAGAACACCCAAATCTCTATAAAGAATTTGCAGAACTTGGCTGCGCTGGGTCTCTGGTTTCCTTGTTAACTCACGAAAATACCGATATATCGATTGATGCGATAGAAATCCTTGGTGAATTGATTGATGAGGATGTCGAAGCGGGAGAAGATCAGTGGGATACTCTCACAAACTCCATGGTAAGTCGTCTTCTTCCTCTACGCAATATAATAAAACTGAATTATTTTCAAGCTGGATGCAGATATTCTTGAGCTTTTATCCCAAAACCTTACTAGGTTAAATGAGGATAACGAGGTAGATAGATCTGGAATATACCACATATTAGGTAGGCAATGCATGGATGCAGATACACTATAGTTTCCTAACATTTTTCAGATATCCTGGAAAGTCTGGCCTCGAGACCATCAATCGCAGAACGCATTGGACAAGAGTCCAGCATCATGCCTTGGCTCCTTGAGCGTATATCAAAGAAAGAAAGCAGAATATCTCAAAATAAGCAATACTCAGCTGAGATGCTTGCAATATTACTACAGTCTTCATCAAAGAACCGACTGCGTTTTATTGGGTTAGATGGAGTGGACACACTACTCCAGCTATTGAGTGTATACCGAAAGCTCGATCCTCAAAAAGACTCCGATGAAGAAGAATATTTTGAGAACTTGTTTGATTGTTTAACTTGCATTGTGGATGAGGATGAAGGGAAAAACAAGTTTATCGAAGCAGAAGGCATTGAGCTTGCACAGATTATGCTTCGTGAGGGTACACTGAGTAGGCCGAGGGCTTTGCGTGTTCTAAACCATGCCCTTGGTGGACAAGGCGGGTCACAGGCGTGTGAAAAGTTCGTTGAGGCCGGGTTATTGAGAACAGTCTTCGGCATGTTCATGAAAAAGGTACCCTCGTGGAACTCAATCAATAACGGAGTAATGCTAACAATATGCCTATTATTTAGCAAGATAAATCGATTACAGAACATCTTTTGGGGATATTTTCATCGTTGCTGAGGCTACTCCCTGGTGATACGGCTGGGCGGATACGAACTTTAGCAAAATTTGTGGAGAAGGACTATGAGAAGGTTGAAAGATTGATTAAACTACGACGAGATTATAAATCCAAGCTCTCAATTGTAGAGCAAGATATCACCCAAGAGAAGAAAGATCTGAGTCAGGATGAACAAGATGCTCTGGCAGGAGAATGGCTATCGCGACAGCTTGACGCTGGACTCTTTTCACTACAGGTAAGTTGACTGTTACCTTTTCGCCGGTTCCCTGCATCCCTCAACTCACTTGTTTCCCTTTAGACTATAGACGTAATCCTTGCTTGGCTTGTGGCCGAGGATGATGGCGCGAAAGTGAAGGTAGAGTCGCTTATGGCAGATCAAGATGAAGATCTAAGCAGCATTCGTGCCACGCTCCAAGGTGAGTATTTAGAGCTTTCATAACTATCATAAAATTATCGGCTAATGTAGAAAATAGAACAACTGAGTGGGCTTGATGATTCTGAGCAGGATTACCAGGATACTAAAGACATTCTCAACACTTTAATGAGCTTTCTATAGCCATGGCATCGTTTATTACCATTACCATTCCATGACTGCATTCTAATGTACAATAGACACCGCAAAACATTCACGCCTTTGACTGTAGATATTCAAGACCTTCATCCGCTACGGCTAACCTGCATAGAGGAAGGTTCCATACAAGAGGATTACCCTAATCCGCAGGGCCTATAAGCGCATTCACGTATAAAAACAATGCTAACGGGTATATTGACAACATCAGTCAGATAGAGGACGGCCGTTTGGATAGGAACTGCCATAATAAGCTAGAACACATTTCCTCTCTATACCCAGAGGGTTGGATAAACTAAAGCAGTGAACGGTTCGATTCATAAGATTCCCTTCTATAAACTCTGATGGGATTATCAAGTCATTTTCTTCTGACTGCCCTAGTATTGCTCTTCCCCATGATTGATCTGGTTTAGAGTTATATTCTTCCGTAAAAATTTTTAAGGCCGATGGGCCTTATAGTCCACATGCAATGATGAGTATATGTCTTCTAGTGGAGTGGCCATCCACTCACTGGCTTGTATCTCTCCTTTCACCCTCGTTGAAGTTTCTCCTTTTATTGCTGTCAAAATCGTCGTCTTTTTATACGTATAATCACGTGATATAAGCGCGCTTTAGTAAGCTTGACCAGAACGGGAATTTCAGTGGCGGCTCATCGAGGTCTTCATTGAGCTTCACCTTCATCCGCGCAAACCGAAAACGATCACTGATACGACCTCCATTTACACCGATGCAGGCGTGAGCTAATTACATTAATGCTGGCTGATTCTTACTCTCTGTTGACATCTGGCTGCTTAATCTAGATCCCTCTGGGGATCGGTGAACTTGTTGCAGCGCGCACCAATTTCTGATCAGCAACACACCACAATGGAGTACGCAGACGAATATGGGGACGATGTCTACTATGAGGCTGAGGAGGGTATCACATCTGAAGACTGCTGGACGGTAATTTCAGCTTTTTTCGAGTCCAAGGGACTGGTCTCTCAGCAGCTAGACTCCTTTGACGAATTCATCTCCACTACTATGCAAGAACTGGTGGAAGAGCAGGGCCAGGTAACTCTCGATCAAACGGTCCCTCCTGGTGACGATGAGCAGGATCCCGTCGTTTTACGCCGCTATGAACTCAAGTTTGGCACCGTCATGCTGGCTAGGCCTTCTATGACAGAAGGAGATGGCGCAACCAGTATTATGTTGCCGCAGGAAGCTCGTCTACGAAATCTCACTTATGCCAGTCCTCTCTACCTCGGTATCTCAAAAAAAATTATGGAAGGACGAGAACGCCTACTATCAGAACGAGACGATGAGGAGGAAGAGGTTGAAGAAAAAGGCGATGAGGAAAGACGGAGCCGTGGCACATATCTACACTGGGAACGAAAGCCGACACTGGAGGACGAGGCAGAAGAGGAAAATATTTTCATTGGAAAGATGCCTATTATGCTCAAGTCAAAGTACTGCATCCTCAAAGATCTTGGCGAGCAAGCTCTCTACAACTGGAACGAGTGTCCATACGATTCGGGTGGTTATTTCGTTATCAATGGAAGTGAAAAGGTTTTGATCGCGCAAGAACGAAGTGCTGGAAATATTGTGCAAGTGTTCAAGAAGGCTCCTCCAAGTCCAACCCCCTACGTTGCCGAAATTCGAAGTGCTGTAGAAAAGGGCTCTAGAATCCTTTCCCAGCTCTCCATCAAACTCTTTGCCAAAGGCGACAGTGCAAAGGGCGGATTTGGTCCAACGATCCGATCGACGCTACCTTATATCAAAACAGATATTCCTATTGTCGTCGTGTTCCGTGCGCTCGGTGTAGTGTCAGATGAAGATATCCTGAACCACATTTGTTATGACCGAAACGACACACCAATGTTAGAAATGCTTAAGCCTTGTATTGAGGAGGGTTTCGTTATCCAGGATCGTGAGGTTGCGCTTGATTTTATTAGTAAGAGAGGATCCTCTCCTATGAGCATGAACCAAGAGAAGCGAGTACGATATGCCAGGGATATCATTCAAAAAGAATTCCTGCCTCATATCTCACAGAGCGAAGGTAGCGAAACTCGCAAAGCCTTCTTTTTGGGCTACATGGTCCACCGCCTTCTCCAGTGTGCGCTTGGACGCCGTGATGTGGATGATCGAGATCATTTTGGAAAGAAACGTCTGGATTTGGCTGGGCCCCTACTAGCTAACTTGTTCCGAGTTTTATTTATGAGGCTTACCAAAGATCTTTACAAGTACGTCCAACGGTGTGTCGAAACTGGTAGACAATTATACCTGAATATTGGTGTCAAGGCCAGCACCCTTACAGGTGGCCTCAAATATGCGCTTGCTACAGGGAACTGGGGTGAGCAGAAGAAAGCTGCTAGTTCGAAGGCTGGTGTGTCACAAGTCCTTAACCGCTACACATACGCATCTACACTATCGCATCTTCGACGTACAAATACCCCTATTGGCAGAGACGGTAAGATTGCCAAACCTCGACAGCTTCATAACACCCATTGGGGCCTTGTTTGCCCCGCTGAGACGCCTGAAGGGCAAGCTTGTGGTCTGGTCAAGAATTTAGCACTAATGTGCTGTATCACTGTCGGTACTCCGAGTGAACCCATCATTGATTTTATGATTCAGCGCAACATGGAAGTTCTGGAAGAATTTGAACCTCAAGTTTCGCCCAATTCGACAAAAGTGTTTGTGAATGGCGTTTGGGTTGGTGTGCACAGAGATCCCGCGCATCTTGTTGGAACCGTTCAGTCGCTGCGGCGGCGAAACATGATTTCTCATGAAGTTAGTTTGGTTTGGGATATTAGAGATCGAGAGTTCAAGATATTCACCGATGCTGGGCGTGTATGTCGACCTCTATTTGTGGTCGACAATGATCCCAAGAGTGAAAACAGTGGGTCTCTTGTTCTTGTAAAAGAACACATTCACAAACTTGAAGCCGACAAGGAACTTCCACCAGACCTTGATCCAGAAGAGCGGAGAGAGAGACACTTCGGCTGGGACGGGCTTGTGAAATCCGGAGTGGTCGAATATGTTGATGCAGAAGAAGAGGAAACCATCATGATTGTCATGACCCCAGAGGACCTGGAAGCATCGAAGCAATACCAAGCTGGCTATGGCATGCCTGAAGAGGACACTACTGACAGTAATAGACGTGTTAAGTCGAATCTAAGCCAAAAGGCTCACACCTGGACGCACTGTGAAATTCATCCCAGCATGATATTGGGAATTTGTGCCAGTATCATTCCCTTCCCCGATCACAACCAATCTCCTCGTAACACATACCAATCTGCTATGGGAAAACAAGCTATGGGTGTGTTCCTCACAAATTTCGAGCAGCGTATGGAGACAATGGCGAATATTCTCTACTATCCACAGAAGCCTCTCGCTACAACTCGATCCATGGAGTTCCTCAAGTTCCGTGAACTTCCTGCGGGCCAGAATGCTATTGTGGCTATTGCTTGTTACTCTGGCTATAACCAAGAAGATTCTGTTATTATGAACCAAAGTAGTATCGACCGCGGCTTGTTCCGAAGTTTGTTCTACCGAACTTACACGGATTCTGAGAAGATGGTCGGTTTGACTGTTGTTGAGCGATTTGAGAAACCGATGAGATCAGACACACTTCGAATGAAACATGGAACCTACGACAAGGTTGACGATGACGGCATCGTCTCACCGGGCGTTCGTGTGTCTGGCGAAGATATTATCATTGGTAAAACCTCACCGTTGGCACCTGAGGCTGAAGAACTTGGTCAGCGAACGAAGCAACATACTAAACTGGATGTTTCAACTCCTCTCAGAAGCACTGAGAGCGGTATCGTCGATCAGGTACTTGTATCTACAAGTAATGATGACTTGAAGTTTGTGAAAGTGCGGATGAGAACCACGAAGATTCCCCAGATCGGTGACAAGTTTGCATCTCGACACGGTCAAAAGGGTACAATTGGTATTACCTACCGGCACGAGGATATGCCATTTACCAGAGAAGGTGTCACGCCCGATTTGATTATCAACCCCCACGCCATCCCGTCTCGAATGACAATTGCCCATTTGATTGAGTGTCAACTGAGTAAAGTATCCTCTCTCCGTGGATATGAAGGTGATGCAACGCCTTTCACCGATGTTACTGTCGACTCGGTATCAAGCTTGCTTCGTGAACACGGTTATCAATCCCGTGGATTTGAAGTTATGTACAATGGGCACACAGGAAGAAAATTGGTTGCTCAAGTATTCTTAGGTCCGACCTATTACCAGCGATTGCGACACATGGTGGACGACAAGATCCACGCACGCGCCCGTGGACCTACCCAAATTTTGACTCGACAACCAGTGGAGGGTCGTGCTAGAGATGGTGGTTTGCGATTCGGAGAGATGGAACGTGATTGCATGATTGCACATGGGGCCAGTTCATTTTTGAAGGAGCGACTATTCGATGTGTCCGATCCGTTCAGAGTACATATCTGTGATATCTGCGGATTGATGACGCCTATTGCGTGAGTTTACTGCCCCCTATCACCCCACAACCAACAACGGTAAACACTTTGAATGACCTGCTAATATAAATGGAAATACACAGCAAGGTAAAGAAGGGTGACTTCGAATGCCGAGCTTGCAGAAACAAGAATAAGATTTCGCAAGTGCATATCCCATATGCCGCCAAGCTTTTGTTCCAAGAACTAGCGTCTATGAATATTGCAGCACGTATGTACACCAAACGATCTGGTGTATCGATCCGCTAAGAGAAGCGATTTACTGTCCAATATTGGTCGTTGTCTGTATTTCGTTTAAATTTCGGCCAACTGGCTGTACCTCCTCCTCGTCCCTTCCACTATGACCCACGTTCTCTTCTCTTCCTTGTCTTAAAGAAACTGCTTTCTCCCCCCAATTGTTCTTCTCCTGCCTAGCCATGCGCCTATACAACTATTCCAGTAATATCTTTCTCATTACCCTGCGAGGTTCCTTTAATCTGTCATACAATCATTAGTTCTGCTGCTTGATGGAAAGAGAAAGGCGCAAGTTCTTGAAAATAAAAATACGGGCGTTGTTTTTGCAGGTATTTTAGTTAGCAGATCTTCAATGAGAATTTGCAAAGCGATTATAGACTCAAATTAAAGTGACAGTTAAGTCCTTACATCTAGATCTGCCTTTGGCAAAGGACCTTGATTCAAACATAGGTATAGAAGGTGTAGGTTAGCGCAGGTTATAACTTGGTACGTAGTAACTAGTGGTTATAACACCACCCGGACCCCCCCCCATATAACCACTAGTTATTTAGTATCAAGTAGTTAGTTTTATGCGCAAAGCATGGTCACGTGAACACTAACTTCCTGGAGGTTTCTTTCTCTTCGCATGAGAAACGTATTACCATGGCAAATGCTTTTCGATCGAGAAGGCAGCAGAAGCAGCTTTTTTCCTAGGATGCAGAAGTATCTACACATCTGAAAGGTTGCTTTACTACTTATTGGGAGATGGTGCTAGGCGAAAATATCCCATTGGCCATGGGTACTTAAGTTACGTTCTTCCTGGTTTCTGCAGATGCGCTGCACGGCAATGCAGAACACAGGCAATATGCTTGCAAAGAGAGACTGATATGGTGGTGTATATATCAGTTTACGTTGAAGATGAAAACGTAACTATGAACTGACGCAAACGGGAGGAACAGAGGAAGTTTCTGTCTGGTGGGCACAACTGCAATGCACACTTGTTTACTCCACCAGTTGACATGAGATCATACTATGTAGTCGGTCGGGGATTACGACACCAACGGCACTGAAAGTTGATCGTCGGACATCTGATCGAAAATCTTGAGCGGAGTGCTGAGTGCTTGGACTCTATTATTGATATCTGGATAGTCGCTCCAGGGAAAAGGCAGATACCTAAGAACAGTATAATATACCCTTAACTAAGTGCTTCGACTCAGCTTTCTTGCATCACAAATACACATCAGTGAGAGACAAGTTGAGCAGAGAACAAAAACGGCATCAATTTACAAGACTCGGATCGAGAATTTCCAGACAATACTAGATATATAAAGAGTAGAAAACAGGGTATGGGTACACATGGGACAGCGAAGTTTCCCATATGAATTACTCTATGATCTAGGTGGATCTGTCGATTCCGGTGCTCGGTCGATTGACTTTGACAGACCGAAGAGCTTTGGGGGCCAAATCGGCGATTGGCTCTCATCCATAGCGAAAGCAAAATGAACGGCCTGCCCGCAGGAACATTACATATCCAGCTACTCATTTACTTCAATATCCACACACCAAATCCCATTTCTGGTTCTATCTATACGGGTTCCGCCACCCTGCTAGGTTTTAGGTACGTATTCGACTATATTTTATGCACTCAACAAGAACTCATGACCAGCTCAGTGATAAAGTTCGGATGTCAACTGACGATTTATCCCACCCACATTTCGTCAAAGTGGATTGACTCTACCCGGCTAGCAGACATATGAAGAGATTTCGCTTCCTCTGCAGACCAGGCATGGCTTTAAGCGGAGCGTAGCTATCCTATTCTGGAGCTATATATGCATGAAAGCGCCATGGGTTGAGGACAGAAGGCCCTGTATACCTTGTAAACAGGTGACGGTACCAGCCCGAATAAGTTGAACTAGCGGGTAAACCTTTCAAGTGAACCTTCGATGCGAAGGGTACGTTTATATTATGAATAATAATTGATTCTGCATGGAATTGGCTCGATATTGATCAGTACATGGTACACACCGTATCATATCCCGGGTACCCCTAGCAACATCTTACACTCAGAGTGGCGGACCTGAATGCGATTTTATGCAACATCACCTAGGCTATACCATCTTTGGAGCCGCAGCCCAGTGAGATATTTAATTTTTCTTACCTTTACCTCCAACAACAGAGAGACCCTACCCTTGTCGACCTGCACTTCTATCCGAATGATCAATGGCTGGCAGCCCATACTCACAGGGTTGTACTCAGCATACACACACCTAACTGGCCCACCAGAACAAACTTCGAAGGAATAAGAAGAGGGTCATGCAGGATGCAAGTACCTAGCGGTTCAACTGAGGGCTCTTTAGCACTTTCCAGCCAAGCTACCTGCTTTGTTACTCGCTGCAGAATTAAAAGGGGCGATCCTGAGCCTGAGGCCTCATTGGAGCGAAGCAACCTTTGGAACGGGGTTTCGAGTTGGCTCAGTGCTGTTAGATGTATCAGCAAAACCGTGTGATGGGGACGTGGCAGGCAAAGGGCGGCACGAAGTCAACCAGGTGCAGGTGTGTGTGTGTTGGTTGGTAGTAAGTACTCCACCACCAGATCTCTGCGTCATGGTACATGCCCCTCTCCTTGCTGCTAAAAATACACCGGCATCAACCGCCGAGCACGTTTATTGGCCATATGCAGTGTGATTGGACCCACACTTCCTCGATCAGGATTAGTGTCGGCGCACGATCCTCGCTTCTACGGCTTCTGGTTGGCTGATCCTCTCTCCACCCTGCCGGCGACCCACAACCTTACAGCCAATAAGCGGTGGTCTCTACCCGCCCGCCTGCGTTGCGCCCCACCCATGCTTGCCCACCGCCCGGACCTTTCGCTGCCTTGCTCTGCTGCGGCTTTTGCTGCATTGCAAAGATATAAACACCGCCCAACTCCACGTCCATTCTCTCTTTTTCCTTCTCTTTCTTCCTCTTCTTTTCCCCGTCCCCCTAATTCTGTTCTTTCTTCGTCCTCGAGCTATTCCTATATTAAGAGAATTTTTATAGAGCCGGTCTCTTCTCTCGCATAATACTCCTATACCTTTATTTGCGCACTCTTAATATACAATCTCTCCCGTTATCTACTCGTTGTCGCTGGTCCGGCAATCCGAATTGATTTCGTTAATAGCTCGTGTGATTTTTTTACAACACTTTCACCTCAATTATTCTTCCAACGCACTTTTGTTTCATATCCTCTTTTTGACTCGACGCCTCAAGGAAGCTCCGGTTAGCTACCTTCGTCCATTCAACAACTACTTAACGTGCCTACGCTTTCAACCATCCTTTCTATAATATTTAATAATTTTTGATCGACCAACTCCCCTAATATTTTACCCCTGATCGTCTTTTTATCCGGAATAAAAGGACATCAACCCCGAAATTATACGCTAAAAGACTACAAAAAATATATACAACACACTCAACAAACATCATGTCTTCCACTGCTATCCAGCTCAACTTCTCCCTTCGCACTTCTTCTAATGTGAAGACCGTCCATCTTTTGGGCTCTTGGGACAACTATGCCGGCCAGCTCCCCCTCTCCGCCTCCAAGTCCAAGGCTGGCTCGTGGCAGGGGGCTTTCCGCTTCCAGACTACCATGCTTCACCCCGGCTCTCGCTACTGGTACTACTATATCATGGACGGCTACCATGTCTCCCATGACCCTGCAGCCGAGTTCACCGTTGAGCCAACCACCGGACGCAAGTTGAACATCCTTGATGTTCCCCGTGTGTCCTCAACCAAGTCTGCTCCAACCTCCAAGCCACGCCGCGACAGCGTTGATGTACCAGTCGGCCGCGCTCTGTCTCCATCCAGAATCTTGCACCCGCGTCCTTCCAAGCCATACGCATCACGCCAAATCCGAGAAGCCAACTACCAGGACTTGCCAACCGTCGACGCGCTGACCGCGAGATTCAGAAATACTGATCTCTCAGATGACGACTCCGACATCTCTTCCTCGCCGCCATCTTCATCTGGATCTTCTCTCTCCTCACGCTCCAACAACACCTCGCCATCTTCCGTATCCTCCTTCAGTGATCTCGACTCAGCTTGCAGCTGTCAAAGATTCGGAATCACCCGCAGCGGAGAGAAGGTCAAGATTGACTGTGGTGGTCGTCGATGTGGCTACAACTCCCTGTCAGACTCCTCTGATGACTCTGACGAGGCATGCAGCTCTGATGAAGAATACAAGCATGTCCGCACCCAACTTCGCCGCCAGAACATCACCGTCCGCAGGTAAATTGCTACCTCAAATCAACTCAAGGGGTTGAAGATGTCTTTCAACGATTCTTCACACCTGCGATAGGAAATGATGGATGGGAAGCCATTTTCTATCAATTTTCATATCTTCTTCAACGCAATTTGCTTTTGTGTCACTCTCCTTAATTTCGTCTTACCACCTTGGTCCCCGCATGTTATAACCTTTCCACGGGCACTCTTTTTGGGGCGATACCGACGTCAATCAACTCTCTTTTACTCCTGCTGGCGAACACCAGATCAACTTCACGTCACGGGAGTCGAAGCCAAGAGGTCCAAACATTTTTGCATTCTTGAAGGAGATTCTCTCCGTCCATGCAGTCCCACGGCCAAATTTCACTGCAAGGAAACGAAGGGCCTGTGAAACTACATCTCCTTCTCCCAGTCTCTAGGACTACTCATCTCTTGTTCAGAGACGTACACTCTCGACAATGGATTCTCCCTTACACTGTAAGGGTCACTGATCCGCCACTGCCAATACGTGTGCACCTCTCTCTGTCAATATTGTTATTCATTATTCAAAAGGATGCCGGGAAACAGCACCTTCATTTTGTGTATGATGTAAGAGGCCAAGCACTAGTTACGAAGTCATGTCGTTTGTTTCTATGGTTTATGTTGTTTTTGTTTACGAAGAATGAGTAGCATGATATTTTGATAGGTGTGAAAGGAAGACGGAAGATGAGGCGCATCACCCATCTCATGTCGGAATCGTGATATTAAAACTAGTAAATATGAAGGGTGAAAGGGGAATGATTTTGAATATAATGATATTTTGCTATGAAACTGAAATATATGCCCATAGTTTTACTCGTTTCAACTCCACCTTAAAATAGTATTTAACGATAAATATTATGTCATATCTCGCCATATTCCTAGATAAGAATTCCATCATAGCAGCTTGATGTTATTTGGGTACAGGTGTATAAAGTAAGAACCAATAAAGTGAGGCAAATTCACGAGCATCTGAAGATTTCATATCTAGTACGGAGCGCCTCGGATACTCATTTCTGCGATAGCATCCTCTATATATTAATTAACAAAAAAAGGCAAATAAAAAGTGCTAAAAACTCCCAGCACCAGCAGGAGGATTTTTGAAATAGAGGGCATATAATCTGCTAAAGGAAAACTGTCCTCTCCAGGAGGATGTAGAGTGTATGCCTCCTTTCAAAGGAGGACTGTATATGAAACAGATGGCAGAAGGAAATAGTGGTACATGGGAAATAACACAGGAATATCATCAAAAAAAATAATAATAAGAGAAACAAGGGAAATCAATAACTCAAGGGTATAATTTGGCTTTGAAACACCACGAAAAAGACTCCTTCAAAGCAAAATCTAACTCCCATTAATATTTTGGTTTTCGTTGTCATCTTCAATTGTTGTCATTTAAATCGCTCTGCGATTTACTATAAGTTTTCTGTCCTCGTTTGGCTTATTTGATCGTGGCTCATGGTCCGGGTTACGCGTGCAAGTCGTGAAGGGCGTTCTTTCGTGGGATATCAAGTGCGAAGAGTGCGGCAGAGCGAAGAGCAAAATACACAAAAGCTTCCAGCGCTATTGTGCCTGTGAAATTGATAGAAAAGAGCGGTCCTAAATTATCAAGTATTCGCCAGGTTAGCAATTCTGATCATGCATTGACATAGATCCTCTCTGAACGGTGCGTTAGCTATCAAAGAGATCGTTCCCCGACAGAAGAATAAGAAAAGGAACACCGCTATGTTGTGTCCAGAACTCGTATATAAACCCAAGTATGAACAAATCGTACCTCATATACTGTATCTTTTCGGAAGATGAAGGGAAGGGGAAAGCCAAAATGGGAATTCTCGAGTCCCTACCGATAAGGACCCTTTCCGCTAGAGGAGTACCCGGAATCAGGTCTGAGTTTCGAGCTTCGTGGGTATGCAGGCGTGCCGCATTGTTGTACGGAATGTTTCGGGCAGGTGTATCCAACTAGGACTATTTTCTCTTGGACAACATGTCCTCGCTGGCCATACGCTTGACATGGATCGATCGAATGGCGATGATGCAGACACCGACAGACGGAGAACAGTTCCAACAGTTGATAACACATTCTCGAATGCGGAAGAGTAGCAACTAAAGAGTAGCAACTAGTAAGAAATTATGGCGTGAATAACGTTGATGATTTGTATGTCAATTGCAGAAGCAAACAAAGATCACAGTCCGCAGAAGTCGTTCGATAATCGTTAACTTGGAAGAAAGGCGCAAATTCGATGTCCTGTTTCGGTATTTAGAGACGTTGCGCTGCAACAACCCTAGTGCGGGTGAAGGGAAGAATATATAAAAAATAAAATAAAATAAACAATGTAAGAACTAGTGCGCCGCAAATATGGGAGATCGTCTTGTAATTTTAAAAATGGCCCGTTTGCTCTATGATAAACCGGTTATCCACAAGCAAACAGGAAGACAGGGGAGAAAGCAATGCAACCGATAGTTCTGGCTAGAACGTGAAAGTTGAGAAACGAAGAGCAACAAAAGAGCAAAGATGAAATGAGAGAGGTAGATGTAGATGAAAGTATATGATTAGTTAGATGTCTGGAGGAGAGAAGAGAAGGGCAAGGTCGTAAACTGGGAGTTGAAATATATAAACATTCTTTGATATCAGGCTGTTGGTATGTAGTATATATGGCCAGACAAGGAGGAGACCAATGACGTCGAACAATAGTTTGAAGCAGTGGAGAAGGTATTGATACGGGTTGGCCCGGCCGGGCCATGGCAGCCTAAGCCCTAAAAATAAATGAGTGGGGGAGGATTTAATTCCAGAGACATTTTTTTTTTTTTGTTTGTAATCCAGGGAACATGCCGGGCAAGCTTGCTCAGGTGGTGATTCATGCCTTGGAAGGCACGAGAACATGGCCCATGGGCTAGTATAGGGTCACCGAACGCTCCGGCTCCTGTGAAGGTTCCGGTCCTCCATAAACTGCACAGAAGCAGGATCCACAAGGTAGCAGTAGCAGAAACAGAAACTCAGAAGTTCCCAGCTTTGTGCAGCCCAGGTCCAGCTCGAAAATGAAGGAGTCAGTGACTCAACCGATGTGGGATTAGCGATAATTATTCTCTACAGCTCAAAGTGCAGTGGGGATCATGTAGTAGGTGCATCAAACGGGGTGTTTTAGGCTCGAGCTCCCCTACTCTTCTTTCTCCCCACGTCCAACTGGCCCATATTAGCGGAGGTTGGATCGAGGCCTGTCTGCGGAGTTGCCGGCCAGCTGTGTATGTAATACTTCCTGGTCTAAGCCAAGAACCGTTAAGGATAAATATTAAAAATAAAAAAAAAAGCAAAGGAAGTAAACACTCAAAGTCAAGAAGGATTACTTATATGTTTTCTTTTCTTTTCAAAGCTAAACAGAGCCACAAGTTTAGTGTCCGCGAGTTACGGAAGAGATTGAGAGATGGAGAGGGGGAGAGGGAGTGAGCCATATCTCACTCGCCGCGTCTACCACCATTATAGTACATGGAGGCCACGAGGAAGGATCATGATGCTGACAATTGTCCATCTTCGACGTTGATGGTTTGATAAGTTGAAGTTGAAGTTGAAAAGCTGAAGTTGAGGCTTGCTGAGTCACGGGATCTGCCGGGGCCAAAAAAAAAACTTCCCAGACGATTTGCTTCACTACCAACGATCGGGCGACGGTGATGGTACTTGGTGATGAAAATGGATTCATTGATTAGCCAGGATAGGTGATTGACTTTCTCTTAGGCTGGGTTCTTCAGCTCTTATGATCGCCCCGGAAGACATTGCCCTGTGTTGTCTCGTGCGATCAGGGCTCTGCAGCCGAGATACGTATCCATGGCATGCAGCTCCGAGGCTCTACTAACTATTCCATGGCCCTGCTAGTTCCCTGTGGCTGCGACATGGTTCAGAGGCTGGTGAGACAGACGCTGGCTACCTGAGGCCTTGCGATGGTACGGAGTACGGATACTTGTTCTCGCGACACACTTTGTAGCTAGTATAAGCTGTGGAACAAGGACGAGATACTCACTCTCTCCGCATCGTCAACTCAAGGCCTTACGTGATCGTAGGATGAGATGATTACGAATCTCGGTGAGCAGCGAGAGAGCAGGCTGGTGGATTGATGGATGATGAGACGAATTACGGCGGACGACATACTATGTATATAGCTTACAAGCGATCAAAGTTCGTTATTTACCTGTAATACCATATTGCCACTCCCCGGTTATTTGTAATAGCAGTATTGGAAGGAGATTTATTTTAATACGAGAGCTTTTTTCTTTAAAAGTAGTGCTACTATGGAAGTACTTATATCTGATGGCTGTGACCATCCAACGTAGTGTTGCTACTCATCATCAAAACATCGAAGGTGGTGTGTTTATTGGCTATTAACAAATATAACTATTTCATTCTTAGCCAATTAGCGATAAGAAGAAAAGCCAGATATTAATTAATAGCCAATAAAATATTAAATAATTAATAAACATATTACCTAACAATAACTCTCACCAATAATAAGAGGTAATCAAAACTTCTTATCACATGATCATGTACCGGGTTTATTTCTGCGTGTCAATATGAAACTTTGTATAGCAAACCGAAATCTGATCGCTTGTACATAGTAAAGCTGTACATCGAAGTCCACGGTACGAATATCAAAATACAGTTCAGCCCTATGGAACGTCCCCCTTGCGCTTCACTTAGCCCGACTCGGCGGTAGTGTTTGGAGGCTCGCTCCCTGCATCCTCAGCCACGATGAAACTAGCGACACAGCCACGCAAACGAATCATCTCAAAAGCGAGAAACGAGGGAGCAGACGTCCCGTGGCCCATATTACCTTCCTTGCCCTGAATTCAAACGGATATTGTGCATGATTTAGAGACCCTCTTCAAACGGAGCTGCCTCAGATTTGGCCGGGCGGGACAGGCTGCATACGGCCTTCTCAAGTCTGCCTTGTCGTTCCCATGCAGGCAAGCGTTTCCGCTCTCAGACGCTATTAGGGTGGCAAATTTATCAGTCGACCGAGTTGATAGTCTTTTCCTCTTTACAGTCAACTCACATGGGGTCACTGCTGCTTCTCGGACAACGTTGAGCGAACCCCTGGGGTCGGAAATTGCCCGGCCGTCAAGTGTACGAAGCAACAGATCAGAACACATATCGCTTCTAGACGGCAGACTTCATCAAATAATAGAGTAACTGAGCAAAGAGTAATCGTACAGTCTATCACTAGCCATTAAGCATCTTCACTTGGAATTGTGTTAGCTGTCATCTTTCCCAACCCACTATATCACACCACCATCCAATGCGCCAAAAGCTATCCCACGAGCAAGCAATAGCCTAAGCTTTTTTAATATATCTTCACCTTTGACGCCTTCGGGAGCCTTGTCTCTCCAATCCCATCCGCGTTGAATTCGTTGGACGTCATTCTGGCTGTCTTTGCCCTTGCTCTTGCTGCCAGACACTCCTGATCTGGGAACAAGGAAGCCAGAATCACCCATCTCCCTAGATCCGCTGATCGACTGTGAGCCTTCCAACATCTCGCTGCCAATGAGAGTGAACCCGCTCGTCAAGGTCGTAGATGAGATGGATTTCTTCAGTAGCTTTTGGGGTGATGTGGCAAAGAAGGCGGACATTGACGGCCCCGAATTAGTGAATGAGTTGCCAGCCCCGGTATCGTTTCCTTCGTCGAAATGCAGGCGGTGGTATAAAGCGGACTGAAGACATGCTTCACACTGCTCATATACTCGCTCAGTAACGGTTTGAAGGTCTTCAATTGCCGCAAGAATAGTAAGTTGCTGATCAGTGTTCAAAAATTGGTTGGGATTGGCTTCACCAAAATGTTAGTCACATACATGGACGGAAGGGAACAAGGATGAAACTCACGGTCAAGAAGCGCTAGTGCTTCGCCAAGCAAGACGAGTAGCCCATCAACCTGGGCGGCGGATTGCCTGTCTGGGTCATACAAACCACCATAGATGCTGTCAGCCGCACTTCGGATAACAGCCACCAAGGCCCTCGCAGCTTCCCGTTTTCGTGCGAGTGGACGATGCCTAGGCACGTTGTCTGAATCGGAATTGGCTTCCTCATCTCGGATTTCGTAGTAAGATCGTAGCGTGGCATAACTGCTGAAGTAAAACTGAAGCATAGCAGCTCCCTCCGCGTCCACGGATGCAATGGCAGACAACGCGGTAGAGGGATCATAAAGAAGCGAACGAAGCTGATCGTCGAGCTGACCCTTTGCTGGATAGGCCCTAGATTGTATAAGGCAGAAGGATGTGAGTAGGTCAATCACATTCTTAATCTTCCGAGAGCAGTGGGCACGCGCATAGCATATCAGGGCAGTTCCATAATTCTCAGACACTTCAGCCACTTGATCACCGTATCGCTAAATGAAAGCAATAAATTTAGCTCTATATCCAATCGGAAGTGGGATACGAATATAAATGCAAAGGGGAACCAACGAACCTCTGACACTCGCCTGCCTTCATCACTGAAGCCCACTTCTGCACACAAAACCACAGCCTTGTCCATTTTATCGGCTGTATCCAGGGATACCTTGTCCATCAGCTCCCTGACCTTGGTCCTCATTATCTCCTGATCATCAAGGCGACTCAGCACCTCCAAGGAGAGTTCCCATCCCTCTCTAGCGCCTCTATCACCGAGACGATTCCGCAAAAAGACACCATTCGCGTAATTGATTAGAATATCGTCCTTTTGCAGTGGTTTCTCAGGCTGTCCATAGCTGAGAACCATAAGGTCGCTTTCGTTAAATCCGCGCATCGGCTCGGATCCCGTCGATGCAGCAAGCCAACCGCCGAAACTTGCAATTTCAGCTGTTGCAGCACTTACAGCAAGAGACCAAGTTTGCAAAAGTCGAAGCACGCTTTCGACATTTCCTTCGCATATAGAAGCCAGCCCAACTTCACAGGGGTTCATCGAGTTAATTTGGAAACCGGCAGAACCTAAAGTATCAGTTACTGAGCTGTATGCATAGTCAAGACGTCGTAGGTATGACTCCTCGGTGTTTGAATCAACTGCCCGAGGTGCCTGAGAGCGGCGCTTCGTTGAACCTTTCCTCTTTGCGCCCACCAAAATATCGCTATCATCATCGCCATCCCACCACGCAGTGAGAGCAATAGTGGCTTCTACCCAATCCTCGGAGTGATCTAAAATGCTTTCCGCATCACCACACAGAATACTATACATAGCTTTGATGTTTTGGTATACGGACCATGGTATTCGGCTCTCTGCCATGCGAGCACTGTGACTAAATGACATAGAGTCAGGACGTTGAAGTGAGATGCCGAAATGCGGAGCGACGAATGGCCTTTCGTCATCGTCGGGAGATTGCGCTTGGCCACTCTCAGCCATATCTTCTAGATCCAGCATCGCAGCGTTCACTTGTTTCCTGAACATGGTCCATTCTACTCCTTTGATATCCCAGTCGTCGCATTGAACTGCCGGACATGTTTTAAGAAGCTGGAGGACTTTGTTCACGCATTGTTGGATATTTTGTAGCTGCGAACCATGGTACCCCGGCTGCTCATATCCATCTTCCATAGCAGTCCTAGCATAACTAAAGTCTGCCTCGCTTAGGAGTGTTGTCACATTATCAAACTTAGAACGCATTACGGACTTGAGGATGAACTTCCAGAACATAGGCGAGGCAGTGGGATTAGGTTGGATATCTTGCAGCATATTTAAATGGACGGTCTCCAGGTCGTGGTGCCTCCATAGCCATTGAAATAGGACCTTGGGTATGGGGACCTTTGGCAAGGGCTCATCTCTCATCACTAGGTCGCGAAACATGCTGCGAGATGATTTAGAATCCTTGAGGGTGGGCTCGAGTAGTGGAGGGTGGTGAATTTGTAGTAGCAATGAGCTTAAGAATACAGCTTTCATGATAGCTGGTGACGACTCTCCAGGCCCAATTCCTCCGCTACGAGGAACACCATCTTTTTCTTCCATCATATTTGGTGAATACCTCTGCCACAAAGACGAAAGCTCATCAGACACAGCGGAAAGGCTTGAGTCGACAATGTCATCATCGGAATTACGATCGCGGACTTGATCGTACATGCGACATATAGCGTCCTCCATTCCTAACAGCAGCTCACTCGGCTCATCAACCGAAGCCAGACTCGCTCTAGAGGCAAGATCCTTAACGATTGACGGAAAATTAGAGTCCTTCTTTTGTTTTGGTGGCTGGTCGTTGCCTGGAGGTGCAGACTGTATCCAGCTTTCATCAAGTTTTGCGCGCTTTGCACCAGTCGGATTCGAGTATATCAACGGTTTTCGCAGGAGCCGGGATGGTTGACTTTTAGCGGCTGGTGGAAAAAGAGAGTTGTTGAACGAGCCACCATCTTTACTTGGTGACCATCCTATTCCATTATCTTCAGGTTCTCGGTTATCCGTAGTACCAGGTTCGTTATCTTGAGATAGTGGTATATGTCTATTTGAATCGAATGGCCCTCTGGTCCCTTTATTCTTGTGGAATATAGATCTGAGATTATTGTGAGGTGGTGGTCGTTGTGACAGATAGCTGGATGAAGGAGAATCCAGCTCCCTCGGGAAATTGGACGAGGTAGTAGAGAAGGATAAAAGGTCATTGTCTGTATATGAATTGGTTGACTGGTCGAATCGGCTGTCGGAAAAGTTCAAAGCACGCCGTGTACCTGGCTGTGAGCTTCCAGACACTGAGGATGGTGGAAGTCCTGCAGGAGTAAATGAGGCAGCAGAGGAAGGGGGCGCTCCGGCTGGTGTCGTGGACATGTTTGAGCTAATACTCCGAGACTTTCCAGGCGTTGACAAAGCTCCCGGGCTGTAAGGAGTAGTAAACGCCATTTTCAAAGGAGCTGTTATGTAGAACGCGGCGCAACCAGTTGAAAGGCAACAGGAAATCAGGTAGACGTGTATGTAGCTGTAGCGCAACAAACCATTCCCCCACAACTATCAGTTTAGCCAGCAATCGTCAAAAAGACCGCGACAGGCCTTTTCCTCACGAATCAACCCTGACTGTAAAGCAAACTGGCACGAGAGGGATTGATGATTTATCAGTTCACAAAGTCACAGAAAAAAACGATGTTTACCTAAACTCGCGGTTGGTCCAAGCTCGACATGGAAATAAGTTTATCCGTATTAATCACGTGGGTGGCAAAAAATACGAGGAATTACCGCTTTGGGTAAAAGTCACCGCTGGGCTTCATATAGTGTGGGGACGATCAGATATCATAGCCTTGACATAAAATGGCCAATTATGCATTGGGTGCTTTTTGTTCTCTGTATGATTTATAGAAGGGAGCAATGAGTGGCGGGGCCAGCGTAACTAGAGCTTCACATCCGATGTCAATCATTCAGCCCCGTCTTGAGGCGGTCGGGATATATAAAGAGGCTACAGCCCTCCTTTCCTTTGACCAACCTTGAATATTATCTCCTTACTTTTTGTTTCCTGATACTGGGTGCTATATTTGAGCAGAAATGGCATCCTCCAAGCAGCCAAAAGCAGAGTCGTCCAAAGTCCACGACCTGAATGCATCTGAGGCAGCTTCAGTTGATACCCAGCTTTCGGCCCCTGGTGATCTAGGCGCGGGCGAGGACCACCGTATATATAATGTATACAACACGACGTCATTCACAAATTATAGGATTTCTCAGTCCAACGATAAGTCTACACTTTACTACGTCAGAACTTCCATCTTTACACCTGGAAAGCCAGAAATAACGTTCCACGTTGGAGAACGTGGCGGTTCCATCGTGGGGATCGCCAACTTCCTCAAGTTCTCCTCACACTCAAAAATCGGCCTAGGAGACCCAGCTGATACTGTTAACATGGTATGGGAGGATTTTAAAAAGGAGAGCGTGGACCACTCCAAATATCGTTTTGAGATGACAGTCAAGGGGGAACGAAAGGGATTCCTCTGGAAGAGAACACGCAGCATTGGAGTCGAAGGGTCCGTCCCAAACAAATTTAGCGAATCAAACTTCAAGCTACTCGATGAGGGAACCGGGGAGCTGCTGGGAATTTATTCTACCAACGGCATCAAGAGCATAAGAAAAATGGGAAAGTTCCAACTTAACCGAAACTACGGCCCCGAATTTGATCTTATGTTCCTTCTCACCGGTATGGCCTTGCTTGAAAAACTGCAGCGCAGAAAGCATGCCCGAGGCAGCGGCGGCGGTGGTGGGGGAGGAGGCTAATGGCCTCAAAATCTTTTGAACAAGATACCCGGAGTTGAGACTGTGGACGCAAGGCTGTACCTCTATATGTATTTATTCATATTTTTATGCGGTATGCTGGATTTTTTCCCAGTAAAATTTCCAATAATCGCCCCTGCCATCTAATCCACTTGCGATGTAATATTAAATAGCCTAAAGAATATGCGCGGCGGTAACTGTTCCCTAGTTATCAACCTAAGCTCTTTGGGGAAATTCCCTGTTGCCATAAAGAATGTGTGCATTACCTCGGTTTCTATCCTGGCGGTGCTTACATTAAATTTAATCAAGTTATTCTTTACTTCGGAGTTATCAATTGGTTAATTTAATGAGATTTTTCAACGTACCTAGGCTAGTGGTTAAATTTTTGAAATTGATTGCCCTTATTGTCTGTTCGATATTGATAAAATGTTATTGGAAGGGCTCACTCCATGTTTAAAACTAGCTTCTAGAGTAGATAATCACCATATTATGTGGCTTGAATTACGCATTGGCGTAGGGGTATATATATTGGCTGGGATAACTACAGCTTCGTATTCCCTTCAGTCTTATTAACCAACACATATCTATACCTTGCCTTGCCCTCGTGCATATCCGTTAACGCTTGCTTTACATCTCCCATTGGCCGCTCCTGTACCCATGGATGGATCCCTTGTTCATTCGCAAACTTAAGCATAGCTCTGATTTCACCCGTAGAGCCGATAGCGGATGCACCAATCTTCAACCCTTTCCCCATCATTACTCCAACTCTAAATGCCGGTAAAGGATCTTCAGGCGCGCCAACCTGGATGAATTCACCACCACGCTTAAGCAAGCGAAGATACTTTTCAATAGGCATATTGCCCGACGAAACGGTGCAAATAATCAAGTCAAGAGTTCGTGAGCGTGCCTTAACCCAGTTCTTTTCTTCATCAGTGGCAATGAAAGCGTCAGCTCCCAACCCGCTTAATGCATCTGATTTCTTGGAGCTCGTTCGTGAGATAGCAACTACCTTGTCGCATTTCATAGCTTTGGCGAAAAGAAGCCCCATATGTCCTAGGCCACCAATTCCAATGATGCCAACAGATTTCCCCGGGCCGGCACCACCTCGAAGTAAGGGGGAGAAAACTGTTGCACCACCACACAGCAAAGGGGCGGCAATCGCGCTAGGAAATCCGTCTGGGATTTTGAACACAAACCACGCGGGGCCTCTCCAGTAGTTAGCATAGCCACCGTATGATTTGCTTCCATCAGGATATTTCCCGTTATACGTTCCGGTCATACGCTGGCAGTAATTATCCAGGCCAGACGAGCATTCTTCGCAATCTACACGAAGACACGAACCTGACTGCGCACCAACACCAACCCGGTCTCCGACCTTTAGCTCTCGAGAAGGGGAATCAAGCTTAGCCACGTCGGAGCCAACTCGGATAATATGCCCTATAATCTCGTGTCCAACCACACAAGGATAATTCGTCGGTCCCCATCCAGAGCGGAGGGTATGAATGTCGGAGCCACAGATACCACAGTGAGAGATGGCAATATCAACATCACTCCCAGAGAAATTCTTGGGTTCGTAGGTGGTGAATGTCAAAGGTGAGGTTGCCGAAGTGCTGACCCAGCCTTTGAAAGTGATATCTTGCATGTTGGGATGTCAGCAGTAGTCGACGATGGTTGAATGATCCCATGCGAGATTATCCCAAGCAGTTGAAAGTTGAGCGTTAGTAATCGAGAGGAGAACGTCTATGGTCGGGATTGGCATCCTCCGCACATATATATAGGAATTAGACCCAGGCAAGCGCCAGGCTTGCCATCGGTCGCCTCCATCATGGAGAATCATTAGGCAAGTTGATCGCATCGCAAGCCTCAAGCGCTCATTTTTTTGCCGAGGTTGAAGTTGAAGTTTATTACGATGACTAAATGATGACATAAGCAAGACTTCTAAACTTTGAAGTTGCTTCTATTCATACTTAACCATCAATGAGCTATCGACTACAGACAACCAATATACCCAATACGACCTGTGCTAATGACATATATACCCCCAATCATTAATCTCCGGCTTAAATATGGAGATAGACCTAGAGCTGGTGGGACGGCCCGGTAGTAACTCGTTTAATAATGATACCAACGGTGGTGGACCTTCACAATTTGAACCGCAAGCGGAAAGAGATCAGGCCTCCTCTGAAGAGGCTACCTTATCACCATCTTCAGAAGATGATTCTCCGTAAGCTTTAAGCCCTATCTATTCATAGTTGCTAATAAGCCCCTGCTGACTTCAAGCATAGTGAAGATGATATTCTTGACTATGATGATAATCAATTTTATGATGACGATGCCATCATGTCAAGAATTGCGCACAAAGGAAGGAAATCGCGCTATTCTCGCAGATATGATGATGATAATATGGCACTTCGAGTACCTAGGCGCGGGCCCCTGAAGCCTGTAGAACCGAGTGCGGAGTTCAAGACCTTACAGTCTGAAGCTACCTCTGCTTTCATTGACGCAGATTATGAACGAGCTCTAAGTTTGGTGAAAAAGGCTATTCATCTGAACCCTGAGATTTTTCAAGCTCATGTTTTGCTTTCAGAGATTTTTCTAGCTCAGGGCCAGAAGAAAAAGGCATTATATGCACTTTTTACTGGAGCTCATACTCGAAGGAACCCGGAAGTCTGGCTTGAAGTTGCTAACCTCATTTTGGAGAGGGCTGATGAAGACCGGGCCGCTGTTTTAGATGACGTTCTTTATTGCTACAGCCGTGTGATTGATATTGATCAAAAGCGATATGACCTACGTTTCGAGAGAGCCGCCATAAATGAAGAACTAGGCTATAAAGGAAAGGCCGCTCAGGAATATGAGAAAATTCTCGAGGGTCTTCCGTATAATACGAATGCCCTGCGTCCCCTGGCTGCTCTTTATATAGAACTAGGTGATATAGGGAAAGCCAAAGCCCAGTACGAGAACTGCATTGCTCACTATATGAGCCTCAGCCTGGAGGAAGTTCAAGAGTTCACCTGGTCCGATGTTAACATTTATGTTGAGCTATTCTCATATGATCACAACTACCAAGCTGGCATATCATCCCTCAAAGCCTTAGCCAGGTGGCTTTTAGGCCGCAAAGGAGATTCTGGCTGGGATCTAATTGACGACGACCGTGAATGGGATGCAGATGACTACCCCCGCCGGGCTACAACTCCCTGGTTTGTCCCTGGTCAATATCCTCTTGAGTCATATGGTATTGGGCTACCGCTTGAGCTACGAGTAAAGCTTGGAATTTATCGCCTAAAAATGAGATATAAGGATGAAGCACTGGTATGTATATCACCTAATCTTATTCTATCAAATGCGAAGTTAACTCTTGTGCGAGTTCCATTTCCATTGGCTAGAGCCAGAGGATAACTCACCTGGTGCAAAACTGTTCGATTACGGAGATTTGTTTAGAGAAGCGGCCGATTCAATGAAGGATAGCCAACTATATGAAGACGCCCTCCGATTTTACGCCCCCCTTCAACATGTCCAGGATTTTGCAAATACTAGCCTCTTTTTAGCCATGGCCGAATGCTACGGTGCCTGTGGAAATCAAGAAGAGGCCGAAAGGTGTTACTTAACTGTGGCAGAATATGACAAAACTAACATAGAGGCACGGACTAAATTAGCCTACTTCTATGAGAAAATGGGGATGACCGACCAAGCTCTTAAATATGTGACGGAGGCAGCGGACATCGGTCGGGAAGAAGTAATGTCACGTCGGAAACCTAGATTCGGCCCAAATATAGCTCAACTAGCAAAATATTTTCGAGATACAGAACGTGGACTTCCACGAGTAGCAGACCAACAGGCTCCCACTGACCGCTCCTCCCTCTCAACTACCGGAAACCATGTTTCTGCTGAAGCAGGTACCCACATTGGTTTTATCCCACCCCCGACTCTTAGTTTACCAAGCGAACGCAGGACGATTGATACCGCCCCTTCAAAGCCAGACGGCGAAAACGTGCAGTATCTATACGCCAAAATGTTAGAACTACGACCATATATGCGCAATGGACGAAAAGATGCTACGGAAGAATGGCTTGACATCGCTTATGCTTTATTATGGGATTTTCGGTCCAACAGGGTTTTCTTTCCGCTACAAAAGAAAATGACATTTTTAGGATATTCTAGAGAAGCTCAACGTAAGGCAGGAAGATTAAAGTCAACATCCCTCTTAGATGAGCTACAGGAGATCTCCGACCGTATCCGAGCTACAATGGGTAAGTACTACTGCCTTCAATAAAACCTTTCTACCATTTCTGTGGACAGCTAACAAATTATATAGGAGCCCCTGAAATCGACGCTGACTCCATTCCTAATGATTATCATGGTATAACTTTTGAGGACTGGCTAGATATATTCCTCGAATTCGCTCTTGTTCTGTCTGGTCAGGGCCAGAAAGATGAAGCTTATGATACATTAGGTGCTGCGGCTGATGCAAGTATCTGGTATCATTCTAAACCAAGTACATGCCAAATATATATATGCTGGTTCAGTAAGTACAGTTTAGTCTTTTATTGGAACCAGAAGCGGAGTGAACAGATCCTAATGGATTTTTACGTTGTAGCGTGTGCTCTCCGGCTCAAGGACGAAGAGGGATTATCCGACATTGCACGTTGGTTTATGAAAGAATATCAATTCGTGACCGATGTTTACCGACTCTTTGTAACCCTGAGTAGGGTCTGTGGTAACCCACAGAGATCCCTATTCCATTCTTCACCCAGCATGAAATTTATACTTCGACAAGTCAAAGCAATTGACTACTCACTTCCTCCTGACCCGTCATCCCCGTTTAAGCGTTCGCGCGAATCCATATTTCAAGAGCGAGCGAGCCTCACAACAAAAGATGCAGAGGGTGAACTTATACCTGCCGAGGAAATGGATGTAGCCTTGTTAGTATTATACGGGCACATTCTTTATGCTGGAAACAGTTTTACAAATGCTTTAAACTACTTTTTCCGTGCATATGCCCTTGACCCAGAGAATCCGGCTATTCTCTTGTCCATCGGGTTGAGTTATATCAATCATTCCCTCAAACGACAATCTGACAATAGACATTACCTCATCATGGAGGGTCTGTCATTCATGCAAGAATACCGCCGTATTCGTTCTCAAAGCTCGATCTTGCAAGAAAAGCAAGAAGTGGAATTCAATTTTGCCCGGGTTTGGCAACTGTTGGGGATTGGTCACTTGGCTGTCGAGGGCTACCAAAAGTGCCTAGAATTAGGCGAAGAGATCGAACTAAAACGACAGAAGATCCAACCAAACCATGCTGGGAGAATGGCAGAGTCTGGCCAGCAGAGGGAGGTCTGGCTAGAGGATTTCTCTCGGCAAGCAGCTTATGCTTTACAGTGCCTTTATTTGCAGTCTGGCGAAAGGGAAATGGCTAAAAGAATTACACGAAAATGCCTTGTGCTCTGATTTTAATCAAAGTACAATTTCTATTTTGTGTTTGCGCTGTGTTGTATGAATTTAATCCTAAGCACTTGAAGGAAACTCTCTAGTTTTACATGTGTATTTCAATGATGTACTTGTACAATAGCTATACTAATGGCGATCATAGGTGAAGTCTTATCATAAAATATTAATACTGGTCGGAATTAAGTTTATTTCCCTCCATGCTATGTAGAAATCATGTTGCATACTTTTCCAATAACGCTTCTTTCCATAAAACCAATGGTATCTCTTGAATCTGCAACGGAGTATAGATATGATACTAAATATGCCCCAGCGCCGCTTGCCATCTAACCTTCAAAAAAAAAAAGAAAAAGAAAATCCAAAACTTAACTGTATATATAAAACTTGAGAATAAGAAACTGCGTCTCGGTGGAAAGCTAAAAGACAGACATTGATCAACCAAACTGCTGCAGGGTTTTCCGGTGGCAGAAGAAAGTTTGGACTGACCGGTCAGTCATAGAGCGGTGACTTCGTGTAACGGGCTTCGTTATATTCGTCAATCATTCGCTTAGGGTTGCAGCATCATCATCGTCGTCATCGAAGAACACAGCCGATTGCCGCCTCAGCTCTTCTAGAATACCGCTCTCTCGACGGTTAGATGGTATATGTTTTGAACCCATGTCCTGATGCTCGTCCGTTGTATATAGTTCATCAGATGTATACGTTCCGTTTACGTTATGATCACTTAACAGATCGACGGTCTGTTCATTGATCGCAGCTCCAAGAACCCGTTCCGATTGTGACCGTGTGGGTACACGCCTGCGTCGGACGCCGGAGCCCACAGGACTAGGGTTTCCGTCGGGAGAGGAGTATTTTAGGAAACCTTCACGTATAGCCTTCTCCAACTTCATCCTATTTTTGATAAATTGAATGGCTGGGAAGGTGCTTGACTGACCTTCGTGTAGCATATGGGCCAATCGTTCCGTGGACGGGTCTGATAGAATGTAGTAAAAATCAGATAATACTGATTTAGGCCATATGGTGATGGTGCCGCTAAATCTTTGGAGCCAGACCTCACTCCAGTCCTGCCCTAGAGGGCGAGGAAGTAGCTCTAGACGCCTGAGCACTTTCAACCATTTGGTAAGGTCAAGCTTAATAAATTGTTCAATGGCAGAACCAAGAAAGCCGCCACGCCAGCCTCTACCTTTTCTGTGAGTAACTGGGCGGCCAACGCTGCCACGAGTGCTAAAGGAGAAGAGGCTGATATGTGGATTAACCTGTATAACATTGTCAGAAAAATATCGACGATGACCAAGTATGACTGGCTATGCTGCCTTACCTGGGATACGATGGGGAATGTCGCATTGAAATGAATATCAAGCGCCTTCAAAGGTACATCGGTTCGGAGACTGCCATCTTTCCACTTATGACCAAAGGAGTATGGTGACAAGGTTCCATCTGGTTTCTTCATCATAAGAACAACAGGGTTCAAAATACCTGGGACTGCCGCAGATGCAATGACGGCACTCCAGATTACACAATTGGGGGAGGTCAAATAGTTTGCCAGGATAGTTGGAGAATGCGGGTCTGACGGTACGCAGGACACATTTAAAATGCGACCCGTTCTCTCATATGCTTCTCGAAACGTTGTAGAACCCCGGCAAAACCAACTACACTGTTCCGCCCAATCCATTGTATCAAACCGGGCACCTGTAAGCCACCACCGTCTTACCCAGACGGAGAACCCATCACGACATGCTTTAATTTTGTGTGCAAGGGCGGGAACAAGTAACTGCTTCAGCTCGGCATCGGTTCTCGTGGCAACTAAAGCGGCAATGAGGGCGCCTCCAGATGTTCCAGATATAATGTCAGGTAACACATCGTTGTCTAGAAGGGCCCGAACCACGCCGAAGTGATAGTAGGAAAATGTGGCTCCCCCCGAGAGGCACAAAGCCGTTCGCCCAAAATTTGTATCCAGATGCTTGAAAAAAAGAGCTTTGTCACGATCCGGTAGCCCTCCGTTTTCAAGTAAGATCCTCAAGGACGCCTCCGCTTCGTTAATAAATTGTTGGACCAGGTGCTTTGTACCATAGTAAGTTTCACTATATAGCCTTGGGTTCTCAACTCCAGCAAAGTTGTTTTTGATGCATGCTTCCAGTAGAGTACGAAGTTCTTCTATGGCATGATCTCTTTCTGGGCCGCGGCCTTCGTCTGTGGCAACCTGAATCCTAGCCCTCAAGTCCTGCAGCTGTGTAACAACAGCGTTGACCGTAACATGGTTATAATAGGCGTATTCGTCGTCTTCTTTCCAGACATCATTTCCCAAGTATGTATCCAATTCCTTTGCAGCACCTTTCCACTTTTCGTATTGGTCTGTAGATCGCAGTGCCTTTCGAAGTCTGCGTCTTTTTCCTTTCCAAGAGAACAAGTTCTCATAGAAGAGTATGTAAAAGCGGGTGAGCAGATAACAGAAGCTCAACACAGCTATCCAGGTCAAAACGAAAATGAGGAACGGCCATTTTAGTAACGCATAGACGAATCCTTCTCGGGTTTCGTCTTTCCGTCTGCGCCTAGGCTTACGGCTGTTGTTAGATCTTCGTACTCGCTGGTTGATGGGTCGCCAATCGTTCACGGCGGTGAGGGACAGTGCTTCTGGCGCATCAAGGGCATTTTTAAACTGTTGTAGGTGCTCGGGGCTAATGAACTTTGTGCTATAATCTGGGAGGTTATGTGGCTCATTCGATGCATCTTCATCGGTGTGGGCATGTTGGGGCTCGTCCGACTGTGGGTTCGCTGGTGTCGACATGATTCCAGTCACTACAGCGGGAAGAACTGCGCATGCAGGAAGTCATTATCATCGGCTACTCCCTTCTGCAGAAGATATCGATATCTTCATCAAGGGATTTATCCGACTTGGATGATTTGAATTGTTGGGTTGATTGTCAAGTTGTTTCTCGAAGCAAAGACGTCATGGCTGAGTAATGCATTATGTCATATTGCTTATGTCATAACTTATCTGATCGCTCTTTGTTTTTTGTTTATCAAAGTAGCTTTTTTTTTTCCTTTTTGTCCCTCGCAGAGGCAAAAAACCAAAGCGAACCCGCCAGCCCGAAACCCAAGAAGGCAAGCGAATCAGCGAGTGAAACAAGCTCAGAGCGGTAGCTAAGATAGCATGAAAAGAAACCAGCTGGAGTCAATGCGGCGAAAGGAAAGCTGAATATGGTAAGCGAACTCGTATCACCCCAAGCCAAGCTAAGAGTCCTCAAAAATGAGCCTCCTGAGGATGGTGTGTGGGAAAAGGCAGCCATATTTGAGATATCGAACTCAAGTTCTAGTGTGACCACGCGGCAGGTGATCTTTATGAAACTAGTTGGGCTCTATTACTTAGCTCCTTCAGCCGATGGCTCTCTGATACATACGGAGTACATAGGTCGATAATGTTCCAAATCTCGCCCCCCTCCGTGAACGGCCTCGAGCCTACCGATTAACCGCGATAACCTCTATCGCGGGGTTGAAATGGTTAGCATACGCAATTTGTGACCAAAATAAGACTTCCTGTCTTTTCTACCCCATCTTGGCACGAAGGCGAAGGCTCCGGCGCGAGACCATTGCTTCCCCGATGCAACCTAGACAATTCCATTGTATACATACGGGGTACTTCGCCCGGAGTACACAGAATTCCGTATATCAACTTGCAACGGACGTAATACGGATGTCGCGCCATCCGTTCGCACATCCTCCGCGCAGTGAGAAGGAAAAGAATGGACTATCACGCGGGTTTCTGTTTACTCCATATAGATCCTCAACCTTACAAGGGGACACAGTTTATATATATGAAGTATTACTCGAGTCCATGTTGAAATCAGGATGATCAAGTCGACTTTTCGAGATACATAATATTGCGTTTTGCAAGGATACATACTCCGTATACATACAACTGGGTGCAGAGTGCAATATATTTATTTTTGAATACTTGCATGAATCATGCAGTAGTGAGCAAGTTCTATGCTGGTTAATAAGCAGAAGCGTGAATCCCACCAATATACGTATGCGGAAACCAGCCGGTACCACCACCTTTACGGGAACCTCTATACGCTATCGTTAACTAGGCTAATCCTCGAAATCTATTTTATTACGGGGCACTGACAACCCCTGACAGTATGAAAAGAAAGCAGGCGGCCCGTGCGACGGGTTCTTGACATACTATGTATAGAGTACCCCCGTTCAGTTGCTAAGCATTTAACTTCTCCTCATTTCTCTAGAAGTAGCTATCCTCAGCATCGGGCTTGGTATGTTCAGCGAAATAGGTGTGATATAGACGGGGCCAGATATGTACCGGAGGAGTGGTCAAGGCCAAGAAGTGAAGGAGGAAGGGTGGCCCGTTTGTTGATCCCTCTTTGTCGGTAGAGGCGCAAGGGAGGGGTCTCTGAACAACCCTGACGTTTATCCCTCTTGACACGCATCGAAAGGGTGGCCAATATAGCCCGTTTTACCAGGAAACCCTGAACGGTGGACGTTTCCGTGGAGATTGATTCACGTGTGTACTCAGTGTGCACACTAATTAAAGATATTGACTGGGGAATCCTGCGCTCCCTCCCTTGGACAACGAACGATGACGTTTCGCCATCCTGGCTGATAAAGGGGTCGATCGATGCAGACGGAATATTTTTTTCCTTCGTGTGGTAGTTTCACGGAGTCGTGGACAGAAACGATTGACCAGTGATAAAGACTGTATACAGAGTATACATCGACATGCCGTTAGCGTCGTCGATGGCTTTTCTAGCGCAATAGCCGCAAGTGTAGGCCGTTTATCCTGTGACAAGGGTTATATGATAGGCGGGTTGAGGAATGTGGATGCCTCTGACCAGCCGTGTCTTGGTGGTTAATATCCGTGAATGTGCTCATGGGCGGGAGAAGAGCATGTTTGATCAAGGTCCACCAAAGAAGCTCTCTGCCGTGGAATGGCGAAGGTTCGATGTAGAGGTACATTCCAGCGACTCGGTTCTTCAGGGGTAAAAGTAAAGCGGTTTCTTAAGTATGAGCGGAAAGGAGGGTTAGAGGTCAAGATGTGTCCAATTTCATCGATGTTTCATGTCTTCGCGGTGTTGGAAGGACAAACCTCATGGTGGGGTAGAGAAGTGAAGATACGAAACAGATAAAAACCCCTCTACGAGTTATGGTGCAAAATATCCGAATTATTCAACGGTTGAACCGGAGATAAGGATGTTTCAACGGGTCAACACATGGCGAATACATACACATGAACTTGCAAGGCGAGGAAAAGTCAAGCCAGTAATAGTTTGGATCCCATCAAGTCAGCATCCCATGCAGTAATGCGCAGAATCAAAGGTAAGGCTGAACGGAGAATCGAAGAGTGGGAGACCAATAGATGTGAGTGTTTGCGTGTACTATGTATAATGCAGGGGCTTGGAATGTCAACCACAAGCCATCGGTTACATCATAGCCTGCGATCACTCGCTCCAATTATTATCTTCCTTTCTTTTTATCTTCATTTTCATTAGCCAACACGCCAAAAACCATGTGAGGTGTGAGTGGAACTGGGAGGTAACGAGATCAGAAGACCACAAAAATCTCTCCGAACAAGAGGATCAAAGGTAGATCGAACCAGTAACTGGTTATCCCGCCAGAACGAGGAGGATGCCCTAGTCGCATCAGCCCATCGCCGAACCAGAGCTGAAGGCCACCATCGAGGTCATCCAGGACGCAAAGGCTCAGGTCGTCAAGCTAAAAGGCTCCCAAAGATCTTGAGGCTAGCTAATCGTGCTCTAAGAAAAACCCTCGTGACGAGTTGATGTGAAATATAGCAACGTCTAGTGATAATGCTTTGGAAACAGTAAAATACAAGCAGGTTCGCTAGGTGTGTAATGTGTTCTTGGTTCATTGAATTAGTTTCGCGCATGGACTCCTCGACCTTTCTAGCTTCTGCCCCGTTTCCACTCTTCTTAGGAATAGGGATGTATCCAGAAAACGGACCGTCATAGTGGAACGTGCTATAGCGTGACCGTATGATAGACTCTGCCTTAAGTTCTTCTGGATATGTAGTCATAGTCTGCTCGATAGCATCATAGAATTCCTTCCGAAACGTTCGCCATAGCGTATCTTAGATAGAAGTCGGAAATACCGTCAAAGGGCCCAAAATGACGATCTCTGAGCCGAGTCCAGTGTCTGGCCGTCGACTAATTCCATAACTAGATGCTGTCTATTTCCATAGTCATGTACTTCTGTGACACGAAGGGGAATGGTGGTATATTGCTGGACCCTTCTTTTTTGATACCTGAGCACCTGTAACTCTCGAATGCGCGCGCGGTAGAAACGTAACAACTGACACTGTAGGCTATCATAAATGGTCATGAATGAATATAAAGTATCACGTGATACGTAATGACCCACTAAAGCGCTTAGTTTTATTGGTCCATTAGCATAGGCGCCATGATGCGCGTTCTTAGCGCCTGTTCAGCTATTATCAGATTCACTTGCATGGACCTCGTATTTATACAGTTGGCTTCTATTGATACATGACACACTCAGGCAGAGCATCCTAAACACAACACAGAATGGAGGACAGAGAGCAGTTTTTGGAGGGCCTGCGCCCAGATATACCAACCGATATAGTTGGATAGGGCAAGACAATGCCAAAGTAATCATAGATCAGGAGCACAGGGTTTGCCGCTATATATAAGGGTAAGCAGGGTTGAATACGGCCGTCTGCTCGAAATACTTGTCGTGAACATGCTGAGCCTGCCATACGAAGAAGCGTGTAGACGCATTGATAGCCTTCTTGGTATTTGAGCAGAGAGAGTGGGAGTATTCTATTGTGTTTCGTGCCACGGCGCGAATACGACGGGGGGCTGCTACGGGGGGAAGTAGGCAGATTCGTCTTGGAGCCCTTACGATCTACCCCGTACACGGTCAGCTATATGGCCGACTGTTACCCTTGAAGCAGCCTTTTCGGAGTCTGGGGCAAAAGTTAATCGTGATGTCTTGTGGTGGCTCCATCAATCGGATGGAGATGTGTTAAAGGGCTGCCTCGATAGATGCCAAAAGGCTGAGTGGCAACATGGCTATCACCAGCTGGGAACGGGGGCAGTATGGCAACAAGACGACATCCACGCTCCGAGCCAAGAGGGATGAAGGAAGTAAGGATCGAGAGGGGTAGGGACGGTCACCCGCCAGCGGTGGAAGGGCAGGCAATTGTCATCCCATTTCCACCAACTGCTTCTTCGGCGTCCAGACGCGAGCCAGGGTCAGGGTGACTTCATCTTCACCAGGCCGGACCTGCTCGAGTTGACTGGCGGGATATGGACAGGATGTCGGTATAGGGAGCGTTTGCGATTGAGCTATTTCACGATTAGCGTGACGAATCCGATCTGAGGAAGAAGAAGAATTATGGGCCCCCCACTCAAGGGGAGGCTTTGAGGTCGATTTTGCCCGGTTCAGGTAATAGCATCAACATCTCCTGACGGCGAAGGAAGATCTCAGGGTTAGATATTCGACATCGAGGCTACGGATGACCTCAAGGAAGAAGCCAGGGAATAAAAAGTCAAAAAAGATAGTTGAGGGGCCCTGTTGATATCATATTTTTCTGTCAAAAAAGAAAACCTTTTCGATGTGGATAATAGCGGGTGCTAAGATGGAGCCCCTGGTGGAGAGGGCACCCTGCGAACGAAAGAATTTGATATGTTCGAAGGGATGGCGCTAGGAAAGCCGGACCCGTTTCCAACGTCACCCTTCTGTGTGGTTATCTTTTCTAACGGAAAAAAGTCTGTCGAGATTAAATATACTCCATTCACATGCATATACACAGATTGGTTGCGCCGTATATATACGGAACTGATTGAGCTGCAGGAGATACAGAGACGCAGGAAGATAGAGAGACGAAGGGAAAAAAGCAAGTCGCGAGAGAGAATGCATGTGGGCGCGTACAGGAGCGGTGAAGCTGATGCGCGAGTGCATACGGGGTGGTTGGTTTCTTTGCTTTTTCTCACACTCTTTTTTTTTCTGTCCTCATCAGATTGCGAGTTTTCTATGCAGGGAGATATAGATGGACAAGGCCGAGATGGAAGTTGTATGTATGTCGACATCATAGCAAGAGGGAAGACTGAAAGGCTGTGGGGAAATGACGGTGGGTAGGACGGTTTGCCCTCTTGTGGAAGAAATCCGGGATAGCATCTCCCGTCGCCCGTGATAGAGGTTGTGAAAAGTTGCCAGTGGGCGGCGTACTGCGTGCTTCTTGTACCATGGGCGGGAGGCCTGAGATGAAGTATCGTGGAGTCGATTCCATGTCCAAACCATCGCCTCCGTAACTACCATTCGAAGCGTTATCTTATCGTAGCACCATCAGCACAAATAATAGAAGTGTGTATGGAGTATGGAGGTGTTATATGCATAAACAACCTTGCGCGCAGGCAAGGCAAAACGCTGGTACCGGCATGTATAAATGTAATAATAAGCGAAGTTATTCTATCTGAGAGGTTCCAAAAGCCAACGAGCCTGCAAGCGTGGCCGGATCGAGCTGTTATTGGACCGCTAGGACGGCCGTGAAACCATCAGCGACCATGGATGTGCTTATATCTTCTTCCAAGTATGTGTATACATTGTATACATAGTATGTAGTATGTACATATGTATGTACTGTGTATATTGGGGGTCATCAGGGGGAGGCAAGCGTCATGGTACCCGTAACCAAAAAAAAAGCCAAGCGACGGGATGGCGATAGCAACTCGTAGCCGCAGTGGTCAGCACGGAGAAGCAAGCTAATATAACCACTACTTACGAGGTTAGGGATGATGTTTTTGTCAGACCAAAGGAGAGGCTTCTTCGATTGCGTCTGCCAGCCTCAGGTAGCCACAGGTCCAGCGTCAAGAGTACATACATGTACTGAGCAGGGCCGTTCTTAATGCAGGCCGCAAACGGGATCGAGGGATAAGATGCAGAGGGTTTAGAAAAAAAAAAAAAAGGCAGAGAGGCAGAAAAAGAAAAGAGAGCAGAAGATGCAGAGAAGAAAAAGCAACGCGGTCTTATCGATGCATGTTAAATACTCCGTATCATGAACCGATCTCCATTACATACATACATAGTACCAGGTATCTCCTCAGTACCGCATGGCCCAGCAGTGGGTTGATTGGCGATGAGATCCTTCAAGATCGCAGGGACAAGCGCCTTTCTCTTCTCTCGCCTTCTCTCGCCTTCTCTTCTCCATCGTCTACTACAAGAGTCTGTATCTTATCGTCTGTATCATCCATCAGCTATCAGGAGGTCAAACTCTCTCGAGGTGCAGGTGGCTTAGGGGCGCCCTTTAACTAGGGGCCTTTAACTAGGCCCTTTTTTAACTAGAGTTCAGCTGAGCCTAGCGCGCTCTTGGGGGGGGGGGGGTGGATGGTGGGCGGCCCATGCCTACTCACTGCCTACATAAGTACGCTTACTTAGTTAAAAAAGAAAGCAGAAGAAGCAAAAAAAGGCCTTCCGCGGCTTCCCCCAATGAGAACGCCCGCCCGACACGCCCACGCCCACCCCGAAGAGGCCCACGATCCCCCTTCTTGCTGCTTCTTCTTCTTCTCCCCCCCTTTCATATTTTGCGCCGACAGGGAAGTTCTTCTTCTTCCTCCCTCGCTCTCTTCTGTCTTTTTTTTTTTTTCTCTTCCACCTCAATCCCTCGACCAAGGAACTCCGGTTTGGTCCTCTCCTCTCCCTCTCCCTTTTTTTCTCATCGCGGAGGAATAGTTACTCGGGGGGGCGTTAGAAGGTTGACCGTTCGTCTGACAGCTGCGGACAAGGGAATAGAAGAGAGAGAGAGTCAACAGATCAACAGGTCAAGAGGCCAACACAAGAGGTCAACCAGTGTCCTGTCTGTCTGTCTCTCTTCTGTCTTAATACTGTGATCTGTCTGTGGTCGTCTGGTCTGGTTTGACGGTCGTCTTGTCCACTTGTTGTCGTCCTAACCCCTATTTTTTTTTTTCTTCCTTTTTTTTTTCCTCCCTCGCTCTCCCTCCCGGCCTGGTGACCACAAAACCTGCACATGAAAACCACCAGCTGGTCACCCTTGAACGACCTCGCCACCAACGCCCTCGTAAACAGATAATCATCATATATTGTACTCCTTCAGCTGCTGCTTCTTCTGTTTCTTCTTCCTATTCTACTTCACCCTGTGTCTGTGTGGCTGGACACTGCTTTCTATACCACAGGATCCTGGGAGCTGAAGCAAACATGCCTCTCTACCCTTTTATATCTATATGAACCGTCTGGAAAAGCCTTCTCTGCTGCTTGACCTGGCTTACGAAGACAGTGTCTAGCTCGAAAACATGGAGAAACTAAACACTGAAGATGGCCAGCTCTTCATCAAGGTAAAAAACAAAAAAAAGAGAAAAAAAAAAAAAAAAACATCCCTACTCCAAAACAAACATCTATAAACAGACGTCTAACACAAACCGTCAGAGTCTCGCCAGGTTCGTTCGCACGCACGAAAAGGCCCTCGCCAACGCGATGCAGATGAGGCGGCAGTCGAGAAGTGTCGATCTGACCTCGTCTCAAGCAAACTCGGCGGCCCATGGTCCTTCAGGCCGCGCCTCTACCGCCTCTGCGCTCGCAGCTGCCCTCTCGCTCGGATCGTTGAGCCTTACTTCGCACAGTGTCCGGGTG